AAAGGGCTGCAATAGATGTTTGTTTTTCCTTTCGTTGCTGTGGCACCTGATTCCTCACCGTTTATTGCGGTGGAAATGAAAATATGTGGGTGGACTCCCACGCACCAGAACACACCTTCGCTCCTATTTATTGGTGCATGGAAGGGCATGTGTGTTTGGTGGTGTCTCGTCCATATATTTTGTGGGTGTACATTCCCCTGCAGGCTGAGGGCGGGGTGACGCTCCGTCGCGGTGCACTTCCCTCGCATGCCGCCCACTGTGATTCATCATGCATCACCCCCTCACATACTCCGTGGTGCCACACCGTTGATATTATTGCGGCCACTGTGATTCCGCGTACTTCACGCATTTGATTGTGCCACAACACATCCGCTCGTGTGGCCGCCGCATCCAAACAGCGGTGCCCAACACCGTGAGCGGCAGTCCACATCCCTGCATGTCCCAACACAGTGGTGTTTGACTGTCAGTCAGGCGTCGGACAACAGGAGAGTCTTGTGCTGGCAGTACAACACACGGAGCTGCAGTGAATGGCTCGGGCGGAGACGCATCTATTCGTCGCAAAGCAGTGAAAAGGAGTCGGGCAAAATAATGCCGGCTGCATGCACGACACCACATCCACAGCCAAAGCATGCGACGCGATGCGTGTTTCACTGGTGCTGTGAAATGCCTGCAGACGACGTCACTAGTGGAGGCATGCCACCCATGATCAGCGGACAGACAATAATCGGCATGGGAGGCCACAAAAGGCAGCAACGACGCCAGCAGCAGGAGCAGCTCTCTCTCTCTCTCTCTGTTGCCTCCGAGAAGTAAATATTCCACCAGCCACAGCCGACTGTGCCATCGTGACACTCCATGCACGTCGTGGCTGCGTCAACACATCCTGTTCCCTGCAGCGCCTCAAAAGATGCCTCACTCCGTCCACTAAGTGCATCGGTGTGGGCCGTGCCTCGGCTGTTCGTGAGGACCACAACGATGTGAGGGTCACCGAGTCGCAGCATGTTTGTTGTGACGTTGTTGCATGGCACCTGCACACACACACGCGGCGCCTGCATCCCTCCCTTTTGTGTCCGCCCTCTGCCGGAGTGGCCACACACACGGGCAGCAGCAAAATCACTTCACCCTCGACGATCCAAAATCAACACCGACACCCTCGCGACGCAAAGATCTCAGTTGCCAGCACGGGCTTCCTGTCGCTCTGCCATCGACGCTGAAACACGGCACAGTGCACGCACTTATTTTCCTCGTGTGCAGGCAGCCGTTTGCTTCACACATTCTTCGATGGGCTGACGTCCACAAAAGCACGCCACAAAAGGCCACTGTGATCGCACACGCTCTTGCGATGAGCGTCGGTGTGTGCATGGATCCGCCGCTCACACGTGCTGGCACGACCGCCTGCAGCCGGTGCCCTCGTGCCAGTTCATCGGCTCCAGCACGGAAAAGAGAAAACGGCCTGTTCCCGATGCACTTATTCCCACCAGCAGCACCAACACGCTGGTCGCCAGCCGTCATCCCTCAGCACATCCAGGAATGCCGAAAAGTGACGTGGAGCTGTCAGCCAGCAATGCCACAATCCCCGCACACATCTCGGCTCCACCAGAGAAGACACACAAATCATAAACAACACCCTCCACATGTCATCCGAACATCATTCCAACACACCGCGACACGCCAAACAGAAGTGTTCGTCACTCCAATGCACCTCCCCACACAATCACATAGTCCATGCACCACGCACGGCAGCAGCTCACACGCGGTCAAACAAATGTTCTTCGGATCAGTGTTATCCACGTGCTGCGGTGGGAAGTAAACAAAAGAGACGAGCAGCCAAACCCCAAAAGAGTGTCACGACTGGTCGCAAGTCAGCGGAACGCAGCCACTCAAACGAATTCAGTCCTAATGCCCTCAAACTCCCACCTTCCCCACAAAAGCTGCAAAAGATTGAATACAAAGCACCATCCAATAAATTCTTTGTGCAACACCAAAAGAAGCCGCAGTGCCTTATGCTGTCCTCACAGTCCGTTGATGACGCCTTCACGTGGACAGGCACACATCTGTTATTCACAAACACGCTGAACACCTGCAATGTCCTCTTCAAAACGCAATTCCCCTACCAACTTAGAAAACGCCAATGCACCATCGGCCCGTACCAAAATTTAAAAAACAGCAAAATTCCTCACACAAAAACCAAAGTAGACCGCACCACCCTGCCATCGGCCGCGGCTGGGCGCAGGAGCTGGTGCGTCCCAGCACACCATGCAGTCCTTTCGATTGGATACGTCCATGGTGTGTCACTATATAGTGGCAAGTCAATTCTCCCATGCCTCGCCCACATCTACCTCCATAGTACGGAAGTACTGTACCGCAACAGTTGTACAACATCCCTTGGCATTAGTGCGCCAACGGAAGATACATCTGTCTACTTGGAAGCCAATCCTCTCCCGCTCCGGAAGATACTCTGGCTCCGTGAAACCAATCAACACGAACGCCATGCACGTTACCATAATCACGAGGATTTGCGCTCCCTTATCCACTCGGAACCTGTGTCTCCGTCCATGCATAGGAAAGCGGCGACATCAATCCCGCTTCCAAAAGATGCCGTTATTAATGGATTAGAACGCGTATGTGACACTATTGGGATACCACACAACCACAATCACGCTCCTCCTATTACTCAACATCGAATTATTCCCTGGGACACTGTGAGTTGCAATAAAGTGGAATTTTATCAGCCACTCTTTGCCAACGACGCCTCTGAAGATGTCAAGCGCACGGCTTTTGATTCCCTTTACTCCTCTCTAGGACATTATGATTTTGAATTATGGACAGACATTTCTTCATCCCTCGCCGAACTCGCATCTGGATCCGCTGCACCATTATACGGCTCCACAAAGACAAATGATCTCCCTGTGGAGGTCCATCGTGCAGCAGCTGGCAGGCTCGCATGCTCATAGAGAGCAGAGTGACTTGCCACTGAAAATGGCTTTAGACATCTCATAATTCCCCGTTCGGAAACATCCCAATCGTCCACACAAACCCCGGTGGCAACGGACTCCCTGTCGGCAATTGAGGCGCTCCGCGTTGCCCCACTGGCCATGCGAGAATGCGTTGCTGAAGGGATTTGGGTTATGCTGCTCTCCTTGGTGAAGCGAGTTCACCCTGCAGAATTTATACCGTTTCCCCATCACACTGCGGTATCCCACGCAATAAGGCCGCTGACAAAGAAGCCACGATTGCACGATCCCTCCAGCAATGAGGCATCCCAATCTGGCACGTGGAATTCCTTGCCGCCGTCAAGAGGTTGTACTGGAAGGAAGTCCAGGAGTAAGAAGAAGTCGTGCACACCGCACGCCAGGCGCTCGTCGGTGTAAAAAAAAAAACATTCCTGGTGTCCAGGCAGACATCGGGCATCGAATCAGGACTTCGTGCGCAGGTGCGATGCGACTCCTGCCGAACAGAGGGCAGACCGGCACGCGCCCTGCACATCACAAGCAACCCTTTATGTCGGTGGTGCTGCCCTTCCTCACACTGAAGAGGCAGGACCGCCCCGACCCCCTCCGGAACCTCCACCTGGCGTGTCGACGGCACTTCCTCGTAGAACGACGAGCAGCAGATCAACGTCGCCCTGCCCAAGCTGCAGCAGCGTCTTCTCGTCCGTCCACAATATGAAGGCACACGCCCGACGCACTAACCCTGGCACTCCAATCGTTGCAGAAGGCCTCACATGTGGATTCTGCGACAGCTCCACGGTCTCCCCAACAAGTGCCTCACGCGCAGGTCACTATTGAAAATGTCAAGCGTATCAACGAGCAAAAAACGGACAACGCACCTCTGCAAGCTCCAATGACAGCCATAGCCCTTCAGCCACTCCTCTGCTGCAACCCCCACCAGCCGCTGAGCCCCCGATAATCCACGGGAGGCCCTGCCGCACACGCTGTGGGAATGCCCCCGTCCTCGACAACTCAGCATCCGACTATTTGGGAACACACCCTCTCGCACGACAGCACCTTTCAAGAAGGAAAAACTGGCCGCATCGCTACGGACAGCCCGCAGGCAATTAACGAAAAGTGGCAGCAAAGTATAACGAAACAAATAATTCCCTTTTCTCAGCATAGAAAAACGTCACCTTCACACTCGCAATTGCCACCAATGAATCCATTGCGCAATACCGCTCTGAGCTGCAATACTTCCTGGTATCATCCATGTCCCTTGTCGACACATTGATGCGGGTGGGCGCCCATCCATTCTTCCCAATGACGGTGCATGTCTGCGACGCACCCTCAGATCCAAAAGGCACGTCCCTCACCACAGCCGGGATCGACTTCGCCCTGTCGGCACGCATCGCTTTCTCAGAGGAGCAGGAGTACGTCAGGCTGGCAGCAAAGCGCCCGCCAGCACAACAAAAACATAAAAATCATCACAACCAGAAGCACCAGCAGCACTGCAGACCGTGGGGTGACGTGGATCAACCGACACATGCTTTACGTGAAGGAAGACACTTCATGGCTTGAGAAGGAAAAAGAACACTTACAATATCCCAAAAGAAAAAAAAAAAAAAGAAAATCATACGTCCGCAGTCAAAGCAACCCACCAATTCAAAAACAGGGGTAATGGGTGCACTCAACCACAAAACAAGTAAAAACAACAAAACTATAAGAGAAAAGCCGAAGCGTGGGACGACCAGCACACACACTCTCATTGCTCCCGTAAAGCAAAACACACACACAGGGAGAGAGAGAGAGGTCGCCCACTCAATGCAATAAAAACAAAAACAGTTACGGTGCTCCGCCCATGCAGCCAGGCAGGACGGCAGCGGTGCGTGTGGTGCAAAAGAGAGCACCAACGGGCATGCATGGGTGTGCATGCATATATACAACGGGCACATTATGTGTGTGCTTCGTGGGGTGAGGTGAGGGCGAGAGTCCATGCAAGGGAACACACACAGAGAGTGGGTGAAAGACGAGTGTGTGTGCGGGCGGTGCATGGCTCTCTCTCCCTCACTCTCACGCGGCCACCACCGCAGCAGCCGCCGTACACGCAACAACAACAAGGAGAAGCAAAAGAGGGGAGGTGGTGTGGGAGACCGCGGTGCTGCCGTCACTGTCACCGCCATTTTTATTTGCTGTGTTATTTGTAACAACGGCTGGTTTCTCTTTCGTGGTTTCTCCGTAATTGTCGGGGGGATGTTCATGTTGGTGGTCTTCTTCTCTAGCTGCGGTTTCAGAAAATTCAACAACTTGGCGAATGTTTGCGTCTTCCTCTTGTGTCTGAAGTGCGGCAGGGGCGCCACCTTCTCCTTCAGAAGCTTGTGGCGACGGTGGGTCAATGGTTCCATTTGATTTACTTTCCGTTGAAACCGAGGGAATTTCCTCTTTCAACTGCTCTGATGAACTGGCGGCGGATCCCTCCTGTTGCAAGCCATTTATTTTCATATGTGGCGGCGACTGTTGCGTTAAATTTGGCCCGGTTGATGAAGCAGTCGCTACCTTTTCTTTTTGTGCTTTTAGTATTTGCGGTTGTTCTTCGTCGGGGCGTCGTCCTTCCTGTCCTTCTTGATGGCCTTGAAGTAGTTGGTCATGCTGGGATAATTCTCTGTGCTGTACGTCTTTTTCTTGTTGTATTTGTACTGGTGCTTCTTCCTGGTGCTTTCTTCCCTGCTGCGCTGAGTCTCCTTGTAGCGTTGCTTCTTGTCCTACAGGTTGATTTCCTTTTAGTACTGAAGGTTTTTCACGTGACGATGGATTTTCGTGACTTTCTTGATTTTGATGTTTATTCTGCTCTTCAAGTTCTTTTTTTCTTTTTCCCTCCTCATCCTCTTCCCGTACTTCCTCCACAACTCCTTTAACGTGCATCAGGTTGGGTTGATGTGCCTGAACAGGCCCGGTAGGTGGCGCAACAGGCTGTAGGCCCTTCTCGGGATTTGGGTTACTGGGCGCGTGTGACGGCGATAACGGATCGGTAGAGATGGCATCCGAATTGTTTGTCTTCGCCTTCGTACATTCCGCGGTATTTACATCCGACCCCAGCCTCTCAAGGCAGGAATTGTGCTCCAAACTTTCTTTTCCATCCGTAGGCTCAGATAACACATTTTGTAGCATTTGGGACCTTTCAGAAGATGAAAGATCCACCCTCTCCTCAGAAACATCAGCAGCAGCTCCAGCAGCACCGCACCACAGCACGCAGAGGGCACACACCAGCAGCACACGGCCAGTCATCATCATCGTCATCACTCCTGTCACTTGCGTGCAGCCTTCAGCACAAACTAACTCCCCGTCAACGCAGAGTGAAAGCAAAAAGAAAGACACGACCACTACACCACGCACAGCGACCGCACAGTCACAAACGGCAGCAGCCCAGCAACGGCAGCAACGCACACACCATGAGGCAGTTGAAATCAGTGAAAGGGCAAAAACACACACAACGCCCCGCAGCAAGTAAAAAGAAAAAACACGCAAAGCAATTAAAAACAAAACACAGGTAAACAAACAGCAATGAAGTAAAAAATGTAAAAACACACAAAAAACAAACAGCTGCACAGAATGACTCCAGTGCGCACGCAACAGCAGACACAAATGCGTCCACGCAAACAGTTGTGTGAGAGCCATGCATATGAGTGTGTCTGGGTTGCGTTCAACGTGACGGAAGCGGGGAGCGGCATGGAGCACACAGCAGGGCAGCGGAAGCAAATGAAGCAAAACACAAGCATTATTTTCTATTATTATTTGCATCGGACCACAGTGGACGCGCACAAATCCCCGTGGTTGAGTGCTGGCACGCACAGACCGCATACACACCTCTTCAGCCCAGAGTGGTGTACGCCAGCGCGGATACGGCGAGCAGCAGCGGGGCACACACCCACGCAGAGCTGCTGAGGCTGCCGTCGATTTCGCGAAGACGTGACGGTGCGCGGGTGGTCGTAGTAGTTGGCACCTCTGTGGTCGTCGTGGTTGGCGCCTCTGTAGTCGTGGTTGTAGTGGTCGTACGTGTTGCCTCTGGCGCCTTGGTCGTGGTGGTGGTCGTCGTGGTTGGTGCCTTTGTAGTGGTCGTGGTCGTCTCGGCAGAAGCTTCAGTCGGCTGATTGTCTGTTTGGTCTGCTGAGAGACTTGTGTGTGCACTCCCAGGCGCTGTCGCACCGTTCCTATCTGCTGTCTCTACGGTAATGGTTGCTTCATTTGATAGCGTTAACTTACCATCCAAAGGTGTTCCTTCTCTGTCAACCTTTTCCGGTACCGCACCGGATTCCGGACGTGGCGGCCCTGACGGACCGGCCCCCTCATGTGATCTCCCTGATGCAAGTGACGGTGGAGCGGACGGTGGGCTGCCGCCGCTTCTACCAGTTACAACTTCAGTCGACTGCGTGTCTGATGCGCACACGGAAAGGCAGCAGCACAGGACAAGCACCAACAGGGCGCACAGCAGACGGCACGTCGTCATCATCGTGAGTGTAGTCGTTCAGTGGTGTGGAGCTGATCTGCACAGTGAGGGACATGGAGAGCAACAGGGGAGACGAGAGGTGCGGCAGACACACACACAGAGGGCACACCACATGAGGAGAGGGCAGCAGCCAGGCATGCACCGTACGCCGCACACCACGCACGACACACACTCCAATCCACGGCAGCAGGCACACACACACACACAGCCCTGCCGCAGCACCAACACACAGATGGAAGAGGGAGAAGCAAACAGGAGCGGCACACAAGGCTCCACCGCATGCACATACGGCGAGAGCGGTCCGTCGTGTCGGCACCCCTCACGGAGGGTACGCACACACACAAGAGGAGGTGCAGCGCACACAGCAACACAAAAGCAAAGTAACAATTAAAAAAGGAAATCCCCGCACACCATGTGGATTGTTGGTCCACGGAAAGCGCGGCCAATATTTATTGCAAAAAGATGCATTTTTTCCTCTTTAATTTATTTTGTGACAGCAATGAGTAGCGCAAGGGCCGTCAGCAATAAAGTGGTAAGTATTCCCTCGCAAACAGGCCGTCGTGCAGGCTGGAGCAGTCCCAAACAGTCGCAGTCCATATTCTCAACGACGGGGCATTACCACAGTGGATGAAGCGGAGTCTCCCGTGGTCCGTCGGGGATCAGCAGCACATGGCGTCTGTGATGAGGCAGTGGCGGAAGGGCGTGGTCCATCCCGAGTACCCGCGCTTGTGCTTCCTGCGTGTCTTGACTGCTGGCATGCTTGGCGACTTCGGTGGCGACCTGCACGCGAGGCGCCTGCTAGGAAGACGGTGGCGCCATTGCGGCATGCAAAGTTGAGGCCCTCTCACACTATCGGAACGCCAGGCCGAGTACGTCGGGCATGCGCCGTCATATTGTGGATGGACGAGCGCGCTCTGCCGCAGGTTGGGCGGGAGAACGTCAATCCGCCGCTCGCCGGTCAGCAAGGAGTTGCGGTGCTCACGTCGGGAAGAGGTCACCGCGGAGGCGGAGCGCAGACGCGGTGAAGAAAGGGACGGCGCCACCGACACAGGGTTCCTTGTGATCTGCGGGGCGCGTGCGGCCTGTCGAAGAGCGGGCAGGAGTCGCATCGCGCCTGTGCGCGGTGCCGTCACTCGGGGCACGATGTCCGGGTTGATACCAGAAATAGAGTCCTCGCCACACCGTCAACCGCCTGTCATGCGGTGCGTGCGCCTTCCTTTTCCTCATGGACTTTCTTTCAGTCCCGCCGCTTCACTGCAGTGAGGAAGTCCACGTGCCAGGCATTGACGCAGTCCTGCGGGAGGGATCGCGCCATGACGGCGTCAGCGTCCGCTGTCACGTTGCGTGGGATTCCGCAGTGTCATGGGAAAAATGTGGAGCCAACTGCGCGACCTCGATCCGCCAGTGAAAGCGGCACGGTGGAACTCTCCTCGGTGACGTCGTCGTGCACCGCCAGCGGGCCAAGGCGGAGTGACTCCATCGCCGAGAGGGAGTCTGCGGCGACAGGAACTCGTGTGGGCGATTGGGATGCTGCTGCCAGGCGGGGAACTGAAAACTGTCTGTGGCCATGCTCAGTGGCAGGACGCTCCGCTCGGCAGGAGCATGCAAGGCTGCCGGCAGCTGAGCGGTGAGGCCCCACAGGCAGCTCGGCTGTCCGGGGAGTCAAGTGGCAGCGCAGCGGATCCAGACGCACGCTCAGCGAGAGACGACGAGCCGTCCACCGCCAACACAGTTACCAGCGACTAACAACACGTTGACCATGAATAGGACAGGTATGCCCGCACCGCCGTGGGCATGGACAGCGACCCCGATTCACTCAGCAACAGCGATCTAATGCCTCTGGATGGTACAACAGCCACGCCTGAGCCCAGCACGGCCCTAGCAAATGCTGAACGAGTGCTAACGTGTCGGGTGGCGCTGATGCCGCACAGGATTATTTGCGCACAACGTCTGGGAAACCAGAGATCCCATCGGAGCACAACGCAGCATCACTTGTGCGCAACGGTTTTTGTGAGCACGGGCATTTCACGGATTTGTTGGCCATGGCTGAAATTGGTGACATCACCGTGCATGGGTGTGTGTCTCGGGTGTTGTTGCTTCTGCTTCTGGGGCTGTGGGGCACTGCGGCACTCTGCTGAAGTGTGAGGGAGGGTGGAGTTGCGGCTTTTCGTGGAACAATAACTGTGCAGCTTGCCAGCATTAACCACTGAGTTTTGTCAATAATTTAAGTTTTATTATTTTCTTTTATTTATTTATTTTTGCTGCTTTTGCCCTATTGGAATAATCAGCATCCCTGTGTTTTTTCCCAATGCTCGTTTGCTGTACGTTGTCATGAGTGACGTGCTTCTCCCTCTTTTGTTTCCTTCTCTTGCCCACACGCGGTGCCGACCCTGCGGCTGTGCGTCCCACGGACTGCACAAAAGGAGGATTGGAGGAACAGGCCGGATGCCGCACGAAATGTGAGGAATGTTGTGTGGGCTGGTGAAACAGTACGAACTTTTTTTGCTTCATTCAATCCAGGCATTACGTATACACAAACCAGTGGTTGTTTACATTGTGCTGCTTGGCACATAAAATAAAAGTCGTGCCTGATCCATTTTTATTTTTTATTTTTTGGGAGTCATGCCGGACTCTCAACTATGTTGTTGTTCTTTTTTACTGCTTTTTAAACTTCTGGTTTGCGGGGCTGTGTGTGAGTTCTGCAATTGTACTGATTTTAATTTCCTCGTGGTGTGTGCATTGCCATTTGTGGTTGTGTGTGGCGGCTGTGTGTAGTGTAGCGGCCGAGTCTCTCCTTTTTGCTTTTTGCTCTGCGTTGACGGGGAGTTAGTTTGTGCTGAAGGCTACACGCAAGTGACAGGAGTGATGGCGATGATGATGACTGGCCGTGTGCTGCTGGTGTGTGCCCTCTGCGTGCTGTGGTGCGGTGCCGGCGGTGGTTTTGGTGAGGGTGATGATGTTACTGAACTACAAGATGAACCATCGAGGGGTTCACAGTCTGCATCTAAGGGCGGCCATGAAGAAAAACTGAATATACGAAATCCAGTCGGTGGAGTGTTGAACACCTCAGGAGGACCGTTAGTTGCGCAAGACTTAATGAAGGACAGCCCTCAACAAAATTCTGTCAAACAACCACCAAGAAATAATGGTGGGGCGGCAGGAAAAGAAGAAAAAGTAGAAGTAAAGAAGGTGGGAGATAAGGTAACAGGAAGTGATGGAGAAGAACCACCAAAAGATCATTCAGAAGGAACGCAGGAAAGCGATGGCCCAAAAGAAAACGAAAGGAACCCATCTCCAACACCAGCAGAGAAAATGTTGACCAGTGGAGATAAAACAGCAGAACATGCAGGACAGGCGGGTCAAGCAATAAGACCGCCACAATCACCAGAATCTGATGGAACTCGACCCGGCGGCAGTTCTCGAGAAGACTCTTCAGTTTCTCCTCTTTCTACGGCTGGCATTTCTTCATCTTCTGCCATCGATGCCCCATTTGTTCAGAGTACGCAACCTTCAGAAAAGGGTCCACAGTCGGAAGCAATGTCTCTTGGAACCGCATTGCCCAACGAGCAGCCAAAGGAGAGATCAGGATCCAAAGCAAAACAGGGCTCCTCTACTTCAGAAGAAGCAGCAGAAAGTCCAGATGATAGTGGGGATGCAGTTGAAAAGGAGAAAGAGAAGGGAGACATTGGACCGAAAGCCACTACAAGCCTATCTTCTACTACCAGCAACCCACTAGTAACACAAACAACTCCACGATCATCATCCACAGAACCATCACCAACAGAAACGGAACTTCAGGCAGGAGAAGAAACCTCAACAGAAAATGTCACCATCACCAAGAGAAATGACACGGCGGCGACTGGCGACAGTGACAGCAGCACCGCGGCCTCCCACACCACCTTTCCTCTTTTGCTTCTTGTTGTTGCGTGTGCGGCTGCTGCTGCGGTGGTGGCCGCGTGAGAGTGAGGGAGAGAGAGCCGTGCACCGCCCGCACACACACTCGTCCTTCTCCCTCTCTGTGTGTGTGTCCCCTTGCATGGACTCTCGCCCTCACCTCATCCCACGCAGCACACACATAATGTGCCCATTGTATATATTGCATGCACACCCATGCATGCCCGTTGGTGCTCTCTTTTGCACGACACGCACCGCTGCCGTCCTGCCTGGCTGCATGGGCGGAGCACCGTAACTGTTTTGTTTTTATTTCCATTGCATTGAGTGGGTGACCTCTCTCTCTCTCTCTCCCTGTGTGTGTGTGTTTTGCTTTACGGGAGCAATGAGAGTGTGTGTGCGCTGGTCGTCCCACGCTTCGTTTTTCTTATATTGTTTTACTTGTGTTGTGGTTGAGCACATCCATTCCGCGGGCTGCGTGTGTGTGTGTGTGATGATATGAGTGGTTTGTGTGTAATATTCGCTTGCTTCTCTCTGCCGTTGCTTTATTTGGACTCTTTTTTGCCGCACAGCTGCTCTGCATGTATAGGCGCTGACAAACACACAAGCACAAGCACATGCACACACACGCCACGTCGCACACAAGTGTGCTGCCCCTGCACTGCTAGAGGAGCTCTCAGCGCGCTTTGGAATGTCGCAGCGGGCACCATTGGACTCGGCTTGTTGGCGCCTGTGGCTGCCGTTGTCGACGCTCCGATCCGCTCTGTTGGAAGTGCCGGCGTGGTTGTGGGGCAGTGGAAAGAGAGCAACGGCGGACACGGTGATCTCTACGCAGTGAGCTCACAGTAACTTCCTTGGCCAGTGGCAGTGCGGATGGAACGGTCATAATGATCGCACCGCCGGCACGCTTGTTGTCGAGTTCTCCGAAAGGAGAGCAGTGAAAGAAGGTCCGTCCGCATGACTCTTTGCATCTCCGCCTCAGGGCTGCGCATCACAATTGGGGTTGCCGTGCGGTTATGCAACAGGGTATGATCTGCTGGGAGAGCGCGCTGTGCGATGCTCCCGCACCTGTGGCTGGTGCTGTGCCGTTGGCGGATGTTGAGTGGCCGATCACACAAATATTGCGACACCACAAGGAGAAAGGACCAAACACCTCGCGTGGAGGGAGCGTTGCGGCTGGTGATGACTCTGTGCGACGGTGATGGACGTTCTCTCGACGGCGGATTGACGGATTGTCCATTTGATGGAGTCGGTGCGCATGCTGTGTGTATGGCCGCCTCTGTGTTCTCCTGTTACTCCGCTACGTGGGCCGCATTCTGACGCATTACTGGCTCAAAGTCATTTTGTTTTTCTTACTCTTCTTTTTCCTTTGTTTCTCTCTTCCCGCATCCAGGCTGCACTGCTGCTGCTGCTACTCACACGAAAAAAAGAAATGCAATTTACTCAAGTCATGCGCCAGCCACGCTGCGCCACACCGCTTTTCCCACTCGCGGTGTTGCTGCTGATGTGTTGCGCCAGTGGGTGTATTGCTGCTGCACCGCCACACAGTACCAGTGTGGGTTTGACATGATGATGAGGAGGAGCGGCCCGCTGTCGACTGCGGTGGTGCGTGAGGTGCCGCGCAAGGGACAGGGCGCCATGCAGGCTTACACCGTCGCCACACAGGATGACGACAGTGGCTGGGAGCCGATCCGCATGGCGGTGTCCACGGAGCATCTGGAGAGAGGCACGAACAAGAGGAAGTACTGCGAAGAGGGAGAGGATGAGTGCTACAACGCATTGGGGCACAGGGTGTCATGCAAAGCAGAGCATTTCTTAACGGAAGAAAAGAAACAATCGCACACTGGAAAGATTCTTCCCGGTGCCGTCAAACGGCACGCTGAGCGACTCCTTGTGAAACCCACTGGTGGGACGATAACTGTACCGAGGGCTATGAATGGACCGTGCAGCCAATTTACGGTTCCTACCAGGCACAAGAGTGACGGTGTGCCGAATGCAGATTTTATCATCTACGCTGCTGCTAGGCCATCGGGCACGGATAGCAGGGCTGTGTGGGCGGCCACGTGTAACACATTGACAGATTCTCGTCCTTCCATTGGCGCCATGAACTTTGATCCAAAGTGCATGACTGACACGGCGTGGGGCGTTCGCGTTGCCGCACACGAAATTGCGCATGCACTTGGGTTCAGCCAGGAGAGCATGAGAGAAAAGAGTCTGGTGAAGAAGCGAGAGAGAAGTGTGCGTGGGACGCACCGCAGGATGGTGGCAGGGAACCACGTTCAGGAGAAGGCGAAAGCGCACTTTGGTTTTGACTCTCGAGGGCATGGTGCTGGAGGACGAAGATGGCCCTCGGGAAAAAGAAATCCCTCACTGGAAGGGACGCCACGCGCGGGACGAGCTGATGGCTCCCACAGTTGGTGCCGGCTACTACACGGCTCTGACGATGGCGATTTTTGCGGATATGGGATACTACCGCGTGAATTGGAGCATGGCGGAGCCGATGAGCTGGGGCCACCGCAGTGGCTGCGACTTCCTGGTCAACAAGTGCAATACAACCGATAATCTTGCCGCCAAGTATCCTCACATGTTTTGCGATGCTAAAGACACAGAGACGCTTCGCTGCACCTCCGACCGCCGTCACGTTGGGATGTGCACCGCAAGCATCGTTGAAGACAAGGGGAGTCTGGTGGATAAGGACGTTTGCCTTGTTGTTTCGAATTTCACGAAATATCGTCTGGGACAACGTACAGGACGTGCTCGGACGAAAATGTGGATTATCTCCGTGGGTCGCTGACTGGCAGTGGCTCGTGGTGCCTGGACGCGGAATTACTGGAGACGAAGGACGGTGATGGCCATAAAAGCGTCAAGGGAGTGTGCGCGCAGGTGTCGTGTGAGGAGGGCACAGTGAGGGTGGGGCACCTCGGCAGCAGTGGGTTTCAGCCTTGCCCTGAGGACACTGACATTCCAATGACGTTGAAATATTTTAAGAAAGATGGGAAAATCAAGTGCCCCACGTACGGCGAGGTGTGCACCATTGCCGCGAACGGCAGCAGTCTTGTCATTCCGAGTGCGTTGGTGGGTGGACAGGGTGACGAGCAAGAGGAGGAAGCAGAGGAGTCGGCGGTTGCCTCAGGGTCGCCTTCTCCGGAGAATACTCGTCCACAGTTGTCTCCTGTGGCGTCTGGTGCCTCCATTGAGAAGGAGCCTCCCGGTGCTTCGGCTGCAGGTGTCGCTGGTGGTGGCCTTCATGCCGGTCCGAGGGGTGATCCGGGGGCGCGGACCGAAAGTGGGGACAACACTCAGCGGCGAGGGAGGAGACCTAGCAGTGGAAGCGAGGGAGCCAACAGAGCCTCCGGCCCCGACGCTTTTTTTTTTTTTGCGCCATCACCCGGCGAGGACGTTGCACGAGCGGAGGGCGACCCGCGGGCGGATTGCCCAGCGGTGATTCCCAGTGTCTCCGTGGCTGCCACTCCGGTTCCGTCCGTCAACAGCGACGATTTTCAGGCGATACCCGATGCGTTGGTACAGCAGGCCGACAGTGATTGTTGTGTGGCTGCTGCTACTGCTGGCCTCATTCCCTTTGTGCTTCTTGTTGTGGTCGCTGCGGCGGTAGTGGTGGTGCTTCTTTGAGCAGCCGCGGCGGCTGGGCGCAATCAAACTGCGGCAGGGCGAGAGTATTTACTTGGCACATTGGCCCCGCACTCAAGATGTGCAAAACCGTAGCAATAACACTATAGTACACTCACTGCATTCCCCATGTCCTTTTTTGCTTGCGGGGGATGGGCAAAATGACAGGTCTTTTATTGCCTTGTTTGTTATTCTGGGAAAAGGTGTTTTTGTTTTATTGCTTGGAGGGTCTAACTTCCGTGGAAACTGTGTGTGAACGAAGTAACATGGAGAGAAAAGTCATTTTCAAGCACCACATGTATACACTCGTTTTTGATGCGATTGGGACGAGGGGAATCACCGTACTTTAATCATGAGCAAAAAGTAAAGGAAATGTGCTCCAATGGAGGCGGGGTCGTGCCAGTAGCTGTTTCTCTGAAGGACAGGGACGACTGCCTCTGCCTCCGTAATTGGTGCATGCGGCTTTATCTTTTACACTTTTGCTTGTTTTTGTGACTTTGCTTTTTTGTGTGTGCGTCATTGCGAGAATGTGGACCTCAAATAATTTCTGTGCTTCGGCTTTCAATCTGCATGCGCCCTTTTTATTTTTCTGCCTTCCCGATTTTTCGCATTCGTTTTTGATTGGCTGTGTGTGTTTCGGGTGCTCTGCTGCACTGTGGGTAGTGTGTCTTACTTCCTTCTGTCCCTGCTGTTCTGATTGTGAAAAAACGCTGTGGGTCAGGGTGCATGGCTCCGTGGTTGCGGCACTATTTGTTGTGGTTGCGTTGGGGCAGCCCCGACAAGACTGCCAACGTGTGGCTCTTGGGTGTCTCGTTGGGCTCATTTTCGTCTCCTGCGCGATGGACTCCCGTCTTCGGCGCACCCTTTCGTGCGGTGGCGTCAGCGCAACAAGGTGGCAATGTTGTTGTTGTTGCAGCTTCAGCTGTTTTGTGTTTCCCTCTGGTATTGTGAGGAGCAGGTGTCGGATGTGGCGGCAATGAGCCGAACATAAGGAAGGAGGAGGATGCTGCGTGCGGGAGGACCCTGCGGTGTTGCAGCGGTGCGCACTGTTTGCGGGCTTGATGCGCCCCTTTGGTGCATGGCGTGTCTTGGCGTGTCCCTCTTGCCGTGTGTGGTGCCAGCCGGCTCTTCACGATTGTGGCAATGGCGTGTTGACAGCGGTGTTTGGGTTGGCGTTGGATGTTCCACCCTCTGGGGCTACGAGGACGGATGCGTCACGATGAGCGACACCAATCGCGCACGACGCCTGGTCTGCAGGCAAGTGACGCACCGATTGCCGACGCGGCGCGGCCCTCTTGCCTTTTTCGTCCCTCTGGTAGCCTACAGTCTGATGTCTAGCCGTAGTGGTCTCCTCTTTTCTCACTCCTTTTGTGTGTGACCGCATGCACTGACCACAACAATTGTACAATATAAGTATTACAGAGTGCAGGTTTGTGTGTGTGTGTGTGTGTGTGCCTGTTGCCGTGGATTGGAGTGTGTGTCGTGCGTGGTGTGCGGCGTACGGTGCATGCCTGGCTGCTGCCCTCTCCTCATGTGGTGTGCCCTCTGTGTGTGTGTCTGCCGCACCTCTCGTCTCCCCTGTTGCTCTCCATGTCCCTCACTGTGCAGATCAGCTCCACACCACTGAACGACTACACTCACGATGATGACGTGCCGTCTGCTGTGCGCCCTGTTGGTGCTTGTCCTGTGCTGCTGCCTTTCCGTGTGCGCATCAGACACGCAGTCGACTGAAGTTGTAACTGGTGGAAGCGGCGGCAGCCCACCGTCCGCTCCACCGTCCCTTACATCAGAGAGATCACATGAGGGGGCCGGTCCGTCAGGGCCGCCACGTCCGGAATCCGGTGCGGTGTCGGGAAAGGTTGACGGAGAAGGAAAACCTTTGAATGGTAAGTTAACGCTATCAAATGAAGCAACCATTACCGTAGAGACAGCAGATAGGAACGGTGCGACAGCGCCTGGGAGTGCACACACAAGTCTCTCAGCAGACCAAACAGACAATCAGCCGACTGAAGCTTCTGCCGAGACGACCACGACCACTACAAAGGCACCAACCACGACGACCACAGAGGTGCCAACTACTACGACCACCCGCGCACCGTCACGTCTTCGCGAAATCGACGGCAGCCTCAGCAGCTCTGCGTGGGTGTGTGCCCCGCTGCTGCTCGCCGTATCCGCGCTGGCGTACACCGCTGTGGACTGAATTGGTGTATGAGGGCTGTGCGTGCCAGCACTCAACCGCGGGGATTTGTGTACGTCCACTGTGGTCCGATGAAACTAAATAAGAGAAAATAATGATTGTGTTTTGCTTCATTTGCTTCCGCTGCGCTGCTGTGTGCTCCATGTTGTTGCCTCCCTGTATCCGTCACGTTGAACGCAACCCAGACACACTCATATGCACGACACGCACCGCTGCCGTCCTGCCTGGCTGCATGGGCGGAGCGCCGTAACTGTTTTGTTTTCATTGCATTGAGTGGGCGACCTCTCTCTCTCTCTCCCTGTGTGTGTGTTTTGCTTCACGGGAGCAATGAGAGTGTGTGCGCTGGTCGTCCCACGCTTCGGCTTTTTTTGTTGTTGTTTTATTGTTTTATTGCTTTTCTTGTGGTTGAGTGCACCCATTACCTTTTTTTTGTGGATTATTTGCTTGCTTTGACTGCAGACGCCTAAATTCTCTTTTTATCTTATTTTCTTTTTTCTTTTGAGATACTGTCAGTGTTTTTTATTTTTGTAAAGCCATTAAGTGTTTTCTTTTACGTACAGCATGTGTCAGTTGATCCATTTCACACCACGGTCTGCAGTGCTGCTGGTGCTTCTTTGTGATGATGCCTGTGACGTGTTGTGCCGACGGGTGCTTTGCTGCCAGCCTGACGTACTCCTGCTCCTCTGACAAAGCGATGCGTGCGGACAGGGCGAAGTCGATCCCGACTGTGGTGAGGGACGTGCCTTTTGGATCTGAGGGTGCGTCGCAGACATGCACCGTCATTGGGAGGAATGGATGGGCGCCCGTCCGCATCGATGTGTCGACAAGGGACCTGGATGGTACCAGGAAGTATTGCAGCTCGGAGCGGTATTGCGCAATGGATTCATTGGTGGCAGTTGCGAGTGTGAAGGTGAAGTTTTTCTATGCTGAGAAAAGGGAAGTATTTGTTTCATTATACTTTGCAGCCACTGTTCGTTAATGGCCTGCGGGCTGTCCGTAGCGATGTGGCCAGTTTTTCCTTTTTGAACGTTGCTGTCGTGCGAAAGGGTGTGTTCCCAAATAGTCGGATGCTGAGTTGTCGAGGACGGCGGCATTCCCACAGCGTGTGCGGCAGGCCCTTCCGTGGATTGTCGGGGGCTCAGCGGCTGGTGAGGGTTGCAGCAGAGGAGTGGCTGAAGGGCTACGGTTGTCATTGGAGCTTGCAGAGGTGCGTTGTCTGTTTTTTGCTCGTTGATACGCTTGGCATTTTCGGTAGTGACCTGCGCGTGAGGCACCTGTTGGGAAGACCGTGGAGCTGTCGCAGGAACCACATGTGAGGCCTTCTGCAACGATTGGAGTGCCAGGGTTAGTGCGTCGGGCGTGTGCCTTCATATTGTGGACGGACGAGAAGACGCTGCTGCAGCTTGGGCAGGACGACGTTGATCCGCTGCTCGTCGTTCTCCGAGGAGGTGCCGTGGACACGCCAGGTGGAGGTTCCGGAGGAGGTCGGGGCGGTCCTGCCTCTTCAGTGAGGGAGGAGCAGCACCACCGACATAAAGGGTTGCTTGTGATGTGCAGGACGCGTGCTGGTCTGCCGAGGAGTGGGCAGGAGTCGCATCGCACCTGCGCACGAAGTCCTGATTCGATGCCCGATGTCTGCCTGGACACCAGGAATGGTCTTTTGTTACACCGACGAGCGCCTGGCGTGCGGTGTGCACGACTTCTTCTTACTCCTGGAATTCCTTCCAGTACAACCTCTTGACGGCGGTAAGGAAGGCCACGTGCCAAATTGGGATGCCTCATTGCTGGAGGGATCGTGCAATCGTGGCTTCTTCGTCAGCGGCCTCAGTGCGTGGGATACCGCAGTGTGATGGGGAAAATATAAGGTCTGCAGGGTGACTTCGCTTTACCAAGGAAAGCAGCATAATTCAAATTTCTTCAGCAACGCAGTCACGCATGGCCAGTGGGGCAACGCGGAGTGCCTCAATTGCCGAAAGGGAGCCCGTTGCCACCGGGATTTGTGTGGACGATTGGGATGTTTTCAGACGAGGAGGTATGAGATGTCTAAAGCCATTTTCAGTGGCAAGTCACTCTGCTCTCTATGAGCATGCGAGTCTGCCAGCTGCTGCACGATGGACCTCCACAGGGAGATCATTTGTCTTTGTGGGGCCGTATAATGGTGCAGCGGATCCAGATGCGAGTTCAGCGAGGGATGAAGAACCGTCTGTCCATAATTCAAAATCAAAATCTTCTAGAGAGGAGTAAAGGGAATCAAAAGCCGTGCGCTTGCCATCTTCAGAGGCGTCGTTGGCAAAGAGTGGCTGATAAAATTCCACTTTATTGCAACTCACAGTGTCCCAGGGAATAATTCGATGTTGAGTAATAGGAGGAGCGTGATTGTGGTTGTGTGGTATCCCAATAGTGTCACATAGGCGTTCTAATCCATTAATAACGGCATCTTTTGGAAGCGGGATTGATGTCGCCGCTTTCCTATGCATGGACGGAGACACAGGTTCCGAGTGGATAAGGGAGCGCAAATCCTCGTGATTATGGTAACGTGCATGGCGTTCGTGTTGATTGGTTTCACGGAGCCAGAGTATCTTCCGGAGCGGGAGAGGATTGGCTTCCAAGTAGACAGATGTATCTTCCGTTGGTGCACTAATGCCAAGGGATGTTGTACAACTGTCGCGGTACAGTACTTCCGTACTATGGAGGTAGATGTGGGCGAGGCATGGGAGAATTGACTTGCCACTATATAGTGACACACCATGGACGTATCCAATCGAAAAGGATTGCATGGTGTGATGGGACGCACCAGTCTGTGCGACCAGGCGTAATTGGTAACGGCGTGGCATGGTCTGCTTTGCAGCGGTTGAAGCGTGCGTACGAAAATTAAGGAGTTGTTCAACCGTGGTGTCCAGCAAGCGCACTGGGCGGGACTGAATACGTAGGTTCCCATTGCCAGGAAGGAGATCGACCATTTCCTTTTCAGACCGTGTGTGTGAAGAGATGTGGAATAGAGCGGCTTCGCTCTTATCAACGTTGATTTTGAGGCTGTGCTCGGCAGCCCATGTCGTTGTAAGTGACAGGGCAGGTTGCATTGCCGCAGCACATGCATGAATTTCCGCACCTGAGGCAGCAAGTGTGAGTGCGTCAGCGTGCATGAGTGCGGCGGCAGAATAGATGTTCTCCAGGCGGCGCAGCAGATCATTCACACAGTGGAGGAAGAGTTGGGGTCCCAGGACGCTGCCTTGTGGTGCTCCAGCTGAGGCGAGTTGTTTCCGGGAGTGCTGTTCGCGAGTGCATACCCTAACATAGCGGCCCCGCAGGTAATTGTGCAGCCAGCGTTTGGGTTTGGGACCAAGGCGTGGAAGTCCGTCAAACATGCCGAATGATTTCCCATGGTCAGTGGTGTCGAACACAGTCGAAAAATCAATCAAGGTCAGAAGCGAGCGATGGTAACGAGGGTGCCGTGTGGGGCGCCGCCTCCAGGGCGCTCATACTCCACAGTGCTGAACTCACTCAATCCACGGGTAATTTTACCAATAACAAGTGCCACCACGTCCGATTTAGAACGCGAAGGTGTAAATCCGAATTGACGTGGGTGGTGCGGCAATAACGCTGACAGATGGCGGTGAATCATTCTTTCAGTGTAGTAAAACAGAGAGTGATTTGATAGGTCTGTAACTCTCTGGGCGGCATGAATCTTTCCCAGGTTTGGAATGGGAATAGTGTCCACCGTATTCAAGGAGCTAGGCAGGCTGCCATTTGCGAAGGGGTTGTGGATCATCGTTCTGAGAGTGTGCCACGTGCGACGGGCCCGAGATGGTGCAGGAACTCATTCAACATGTTGTCGTGGCCAGGGGCTGAGCCAAGCAAAGAGTCACGAATGGCCACGTCAAGTTCATACGGCGTGAGAGGTCGATCCATTTCCCAGCCACCAGGGGGCAATGGAGTGCGGCAAGCAGCAGCAGCAGTATAAGGTAATGTGGCACGTGAGACCCGCACAAAATGATGGACGAGCAGATTTGCCTGATGCCAGGGCAGGAAACAAATGCGGTCCGAGGATCAGTTCGGAGCACAACCGATTCCAGGGGATGAGGGTGCGGCGCCGCCACGCCGCGGAGATATCGCCAGCTTGGGCTGGATGAGGCCTCAAGTTTTTCGCACGGGCGTCCAGAAGCATAGTGAAGCCACGGCGTAAGGCTTGATTTTGGTTCTCCACATTTTGGATTAATTCGTCTCGAAGCAGGCTGTCTCCTGGTGAGGCGATGTGTGTGCTTTGCGTGCTGCTTCCGCGGCGGACTCGGCTTGTTCCATTTTGTTTGTCCAGATTGTTTTGGGCTGTCACGGCTGCCGCGCGGGATATGGCGCTCAGCTGCTCGTAAGATACCACTGCGAATGTCCAACCATGCGGACGCGGCGGCAAGGAGTGTTTTACACAACGAGGTGTAAAAGCAGGCCAATCCGCTTTGCGCAGGGCAGAGGTGGTTTTCTCCCGCCGAGGCAGCGTGTTGGCTATTCGCGGAATGCCATCATCCAACCCTGCCAAGTAAGATATTAAGCAGTGGTCCTAATCCATGTAGGGGGTGGATTGCCAGTGGGTGACACGTAGCACGCGATACGCAGTCACTTCAGGGGACGAGACATTACGATGTGTGATCCGTGTTGCCTGCGCCGGGTCATTTTCCAGCCCAACATCGATGTCAATTAAAGTGGAGGAAAAATTCTCTTCTTCAGTCGTTGAAGGCAGGTGTCTGTCTCAGAGTCCATGATGTAAATTCAGTTCACCCGCGATAATCGCTGCGGGGCCTGAGCGAAGAATGGCAATAATAAACGAAAATCTTTGAACGGTTGCTGTGGGAGGGTTGTAGAGATTCACCACGCAGATGCTGGGACAGCCCTGTGAAAATGCACGGACAGCAATGGTCTCCAGGAGGTCTGTACCAGGGAGCATCAGGCGCTCGCACGGTAGAGAGTGGCGCACCAGAGTGGCAACGCCACCAGCGCGCCCAGTGCGGGCCTGAAGAACGCCATTATAGCCATATAGTTTTGCCGCTGTGGCAATTCGAGTATTTTCTTCCTGGGGAAGAACGATGACACGTGGATGCTGCTCCAGTCGCGCAGCAGATGCAATCTTTTTTACGGACGAGAGGCCTGCAATGTTGAGCTGCCAAATAGTGATGTAGCCATCCTCCTCGGTGCCAGGGTTCTTGTGGACGTCACCGCCACGGGTGATATCAACGGAGTGACCGCAGCGAAACGGTCGTGCAGTTTTGTCCGACAGTCTGCAGGCAGACCGTTTCACCTCCCCACACCGGGCATGGCGTGGAACCCTCTCGAGTGTTGGAGTCGTCTTGTTCTCCGTCGTGCTCGCCGCAACGCACCGCAGCGGAGTTCCTATATGCAACCAGAGCCCCAGCACCGCGACAAGGTGGGACTTCATCGCTGGGGCTTACCGAATGTTGTAAAGGACCTCATTTTAAGTCGTTTTTCTTTTTTTCTTTTTTTTTTTTTTTTTTTTTTTTGTTGCTTGTGTTTTATTTGGAATAATAATTATCTTTGTGTTTTCCCAATGGCTGTTTAACTGCTCTACACATCATTATGAGTGACGTGTTTTCCATCTTGTTTTCTTTTTTGTCCAGTCGCTGTGCCGGCCTCACTGCTGTGCGTCCCACGGACTGCACGTACGAGGATTGAGGGAACACGCCGGATGCCGGACGAATTATAAGGGATGTTGTGTGGGCTGGTGGAGCAGCAGGATTTTTTCTTTTTTTCTCATAATATTTTCTGCTATTTTTGCGGGGAAGATGTATACACAAACACACGGTCGTCTATATTGTGCTGCATGGCACATGAAATAAAACTACGAACTAATCTATTTTCTTCATCCTTTCCGGGAGTCTTGCCGGACTATTAACTCATTTTTTATTTTTTTATTTTTATTATTTCTGATTTGCAGGACGGTGTGAGTTTTTTGCCTTTTTACTGATTCCAACTGCCTCATGGCGCATGCGCTGCCATTTGTGACTGTGGCGTTACTGTGTGTGGTGTAACGGCCGTGTCTTTGCTTTTGCTCCTTGTTGACGGGGAGTTAGTTTGTGCTTAAGGCTGCACGCAAGTGACAGGAGTGATGGCGATGATGATGACTGGCCGTGTGCTGCTGGTGTGTGCCCTCTGCGTACTGTGGTGCGGTGTATTTGGAATTGCGGCCGACGATGCTGGTGGTGCCGATGGCAGTGCGGTTGAGTATTTGCTCTCGCGGTGGCGCGCTCAGCTGCGGAGGGGTTGCGCGGTGGAGGTCAGCAGGAGGACAGGAGGCGGTGCGAATGCGTCTGCCGTGGAAGAATGCGTGGGTCGGGGGATGGACGGTGTGCGTGCCGTTGTGGATGGCCGTAGCCGTTGGGCACATCAGCGCTCCGTCATTGTTGCCACTTCTGCTGGTGACAATTCTGATGATTACAAAGTCCCGGGATCTCTCCCGGAAGGACAGTCAGGGAGCGTCGCTCAATTGCCGGTTCAACAACCGTTGAAACCAGCGCCGAGCTCGGTGCCGGGATCAACGGATAATGCAACTGAAAAAAATAAGCCAACAAATCCCGCACAGCCTCTTGCGACGGGGGAGAACATAAATGGAGAATTAATAGAAGTGAAAAGAGACGATGAAGTCAAAAAGGAAGAAAGCGAAGAGGAAGAAGGCGAGGAAGTTGAAGAAACCGATGATGAAGAAGATGATAATGCAGGCAGTGGGACATCTGATGGAAGTCAAGAACAAGGAAAGCAGAAAGCAGGTACTGGACAAGGGGCATCAGGAGGCACTGGAAAAGAAAATGGAAATGTTGTTGCCGGCAGTAAATTGGCGGAAGGGGCCGCAGCCTCTCCGCCTGTTGTTTCCGTCGACGTCGAGAATCCCAAAAGTGTCGAGTTGACTCGTGACGATGTTGGAGGAAAGAGACAAACCCATGAAAAGACAGTGCAAGAGCCACCAGCAGTGAAACTGAGAGAGAATGTACCAGCGGAATTAATTTCCACGGAAGATGCGGCGGAAGGGGAAAAACAAAAGGCGGAAGAAAAAGCGGAGGAAGCAGAAACAAACGAGGAACAAAAAACCACCGCAAAAAAATTGAGAGAAGAAACGCCAACAGCACCAGAGAAAAAGACGAAAGAAGAGCAAAAGGATAAGGAGGTACAACACATACAAAGCAAAAACGAAGAAAAAGAAACGGATGGAGCAGAACCAACAGCTGAAAAAGAGGCAGACGTTGAAAAAACGGCCGCATTCAAAAATATCAACATGAATAACATTACCAAACCTGGCGACAGTGACGGCAGCACCGCGGTCTCCCACACCACCTCCCCTCTTTTGCTTCTTCTTGTTGTTGTTGCGTGTGCGGCTGCGGCTGCGGTGGTGGCCGCGTGAGAGTGAGTGAGAGAGCGCCATGCACCGCCCGCACACACACTCGTCCTTCTCTCTCTCTGTGTGTGTCCCCTTGCATGGACTCTCGTCCTCACCTCACCCCACGAAGCACACACATAATGTGCCCATTGTATATATGCATGCACACCCATGCATGCCCGTTGGTGCTCTCTTTTGCACGACACGCACCGCTGCCGTCCTGCCTGGCTGCATGGGCGGAGCACCGTAACTGTTTTTGTTTTGTTTTTATTGCATTGAGTGGGCGACCTCTCTCTCTCTCCCTGTGTGTGTGTGTGTTTTGCCTTACGGGAGCAATGAGAGTGTGTGCGCTGGTCGTCCCACGGTTCGGCTTTTTGTTTTCCTTTATTGTTTTTCATTGTTTTGTGCTTGAGAGCACCCATTCCACGGGCTGCGTGTGTGTGTGTGTTTGTGTGTGATGATATGAGTAATTTGCGTGTGTGCTATCCGCTTCTCTCTGTCGTTGCTTTCTTCTGACTCTCTTGTGCCGCACAGCTGCTTTGCAATTATAGGCGCTGACAAACACACAAGCACAAGCAAATGCACACACACGCCACGTCGCACACAAGTGTGCTGCCCCTGCACTGCTAGAGGAGCTCTCAGCGCGCTTTGGAATGTCGCAGCGGGCACCATTGGGCTCGGCTTGTTGGCGCCTGTGGCTGCCGTTGTCGACGCTCCGATCCGCTCTGTTGGAAGTGCCGGCGTGGTCGTTGGCCGGTGGAAAGAGAGCAACGGCGGACACGGTGACCTCTACGCAGTGAGCTCACAGTAACTTCCTCGGCCAGTGGCAGTGCGGATGGAACTGCCATAATGATCGCACCGCCGGCACGCTTGTTGTCGAGTTCCCCGAAAGGAGAGCAGTGAAAGAAGGTCCGTCCGCATGACTCTTTGCATCTCCGCCTCAGGGCTGCGCATCACAATTGGGGTTGCCGTGCGGTTATGCAACAGGGTATGAGCTGCTGGGAGAGCGCGCTGTGCGATGCTCCTGCACCTGAGACTGGTGCTGTGCCACTGGCGGATGTTGAGTGACTGATCACACAAATATTGCGACACCACGAGGAGAAAGGACCAAACACCTCGCGTGGAGGGAGGGTTGCGGCTGGTGAGGACTCTGTGCGACGGTGATGGACGTTCTCTCGACGGCGGATTGACGGATTGTCCCTTTGGTGGAGTCGGTGCGCATGCTGTGTGTATGGCCGCCTCTGTGTTCTCCTGTTACTCCGCTGCGTGGGCCGCATTCTGACGCATTACTGGCTCAAAGTCATTTTGTTTTTCTTACTCTTCTTTTTCCCTTGTTTCTCTCCTCCCGCATCCAGGCTGCACTGCTGCTACTCACAAGAAACCAAGAAATGCAATTTGCTCAAGTCATGCGCCAGCCACGCCACGCCACGCCGCTTTTCCCACTGGTGGTGTTGCCGTTGCACCAGCCACACAATACCGCTTTGGGTTTGACGAGATGATGAGGGAGAACGGCCCGCTGTCGACTGCGGTGGTGCGTGAGGTGCCGCGCAAGGGACAAGGCGCCATGCAGACGTACACCGTCGCCACACAGGATAACGACAGTGGCTGGGAGCCGATCCGCATTGCGGTGTCCACGGAGGATCTGGAGAGAGGCACGAACAAGAGGAAGAAGTACTGCGAAGAAGGAGAGGATGAGTGCTACAACGCCTTGGGGCAAAGGGTGTCATGCAAAGCAGAGCATTTCTTGACGGAGGCAAAGACACAATTGTACACTGGGAAGATTCTCTTCGGTGCCGTCAAACTGCACGCTGAGCGACTCCTTGTGAAACCCACTGGTGGGACGATAACTGTACTGAGGGCTATGAATGAACCGTGCAGCCAATTTACGGTTCCTACCAGGCACAAGAGTGACGGTGTGCCGAATGCAGATTTTATCATCTACGCTGCTGCTAGGCCATCGGGCACGGATAGCAGGGCTGTGTGGGCGGCCACGTGTAACACATTGACAGATTCTCGTCCTTCCATTGGCGCCATGAACTTTGATCCAAAGTGCATGACTGACACGGCGTGGGGCGTTCGCGTTGCCGCACACGAAATTGCGCATGCACTTTGGTTCAGCCAGGAGAGCATGAGATAAAAGAGCCTGGTGAAGAAGCGACAGAGAAGTGTGCGTGGGAAGCACCGCAGGATGGTGGCAGGGAAGCACGTTCAGGAGAAGGCGAAAGCGCACTTTGGTTTTGACTCTCGAGGGCATGGTGCTGGAGGACGAAGATGGCCCTCGGGAAAAAGAAATCCCTCACTGGAAGGGACGCCACGCGCGGGACGAGCTGATAGCCCCCACAGTTGGTGCCGGCTACTACACGGCTCTGATAATGGCGGTGTTTGCGGATATGGGATACTACCGCGTGAATTGGAGCATGGCGGAGCCGATGAGCTGGGGCCACCGCAGTGGCTGCGACTTCCTGGTCAACAAGTGCAATACAACCGATAATATTGCCGCCAATTATCCTCACATGTTTTGCGATGCTAAAGACACAGAGACGCTTCGCTGCACCTCCGACCGCCGTCACGTTGGGAAGTGCACCGCAAGCATTGCTGAGGACAAAGGGAGTCTGGTGGATAAGGACGTTTGCCCTGTCGTATCTTTGGAATTTCACGAAATATCGTCTGGGACAACGTACAGGACGTGCTCGGACGAAAATGTGGATTATCTCCGTGGGTCGCTGACTGGCAGTGGCTCGTGGTGCCTGGACGCGGAATTACTGGAGACGAAGGACGGTGATGGCCATAAAAGCGTCAAGGGAGTGTGCGCGCAGGTGTCGTGTGAGGAGGGCACAGTGAGGGAGAGGCACCTCGGCAGCAGTGGGTTTCAGCCTTGCACTGAGGACACTGACATCCCAGTGACGTTGAAAGATTTTCAGAAAGATGGGAGGATCAAGTGCCCCACGTACGGCGAGGTGTGCACCATTGCCGCGAACGGCAGCAGTCTTGTCATTCCGAGTGCGTTGGTGGGTGGACAGGGTGACGAGCAAGAGGAGGAAGCAGAAGAGTCTGCGGTTGCTTCAGGGTCGCCTTCTCCGGAGAATACTCGTCCACAGTTGTCTCCTGTGGTGTCTGGTGCCTCCATTGAAAAGGAGCCTCCCGGTGCTTCGGCTGCAGGTGTCGCTGGTGGTGGCCTTCATGCTGGTCCGAGGGGTGATCCGGGGGTGCGGACCGAAAGTGGGGACAACACTCAGCGGCGAGGGAGGAGACCTGGCAGTGGAAGCGAGGGAGCCAACAGAGCCTCCGGCCCCGACGGTTTTTTTTTTTTTGCGCCATCACCCGGCGAGGACGTTGCACGAGCGGAGGGCGACCCGCGGGCGAATTGCCCAGCGGTGATTCCCAGTGTCTCCGTGCCTGCCACTCCGGTTCCGTCCGTCAACAGCGACGATTTTCGGGCGATACCCGATGCGTTGGTACAGCAGGCCGACAGTGATTGTTGTGTGGCTGCTGCTACTGCTGGCCTCATTCCCTTTGTGCTTCTTGTTGTGGTCGCTGCGGCGGTAGTGGTGGTGCTTCTTTGAGCAGCCGCGGCGGCTGGGCGCAATCAAACTGCGGCAGGGCGACAGTATTTACTTGGCACATTGGCCCCGCACTCAAGATGTGCAAAGCCGTAGAAATAACACTATGATACACTCACCGCATTCCCCGTTTCCTTCTTTTCTTGCGGGTGATGGGCAAAATGACCGGTCTTTTATTGCATTGTTTGTTATTCTGGGAAAAGGTGTTTTGTTTTATTGCTTAGAGGGTCTAACTTCCGTGAAAACTGTGTGTGAACGAAGTAACATGGAGAGAAAGGACAGTTCCCAGCACCACATGTATACACGCGTTTTTTGATGCGATTGGGACGAGGGGAAATCACCGTACTTTAATCATGAGGAAAAAGTAAAGGAAATGTGCTCCAATGGAGGCGGGGTCGTGCCAGTAGCTGTTTCTCTGAAGGACAGGGACGACTGCCTCTGCCTCCGTAATTGGTGCATGCGGCTTTATCTTTTACACTTTTGCTTGTTTTTGTGACTTTGCTTTTTTGTGTGTGCGTCATTGCGAGAATGTGGACCTCAAATAATTTCTGTGCTTCGGCTTTTAATCTGCATGCGCCCTTTTTATTTTTCTGCCTTCACAATTTTTCGCATTCGTTTTTGATTGGCTGTGTGTGTTTTGGGTGCTCTGCTGCACTGTGGGTAGTGTGTCTTAATTCCCTCTGTCCCTGCTGTTCTGATTGTGAAAAGACGCCGTGGGTCAGGGTGCATGGCTCCGTGGTTGCGGCACTATTTGTTGTGGTTGCGTTGGGGCAGCCCCGACAAGACTGCCAACGTGTGGCTCTTGGGTGTCTCGTTGGGCTCTTTTCCGTCTCCTGCGCGATGGACTCCCATCGTCGGCGCACTCTTTCGTGCAGTGGCGTCAGCGCAACAAGGTGGCGGTTTTGTTGTTGTTGCAGCTTCAGCTGTTTTGTGTTTCCCTCTGGTATTGTGAGGTGCAGGTGCCGGATGTGGCGGCAATGAGCCGAGGATAAGGAAGGAGGAGGATGACGGTGCGTGCGGGAGGGTCCTGCGGTGTTGGAGCGGTGCGCACTGTTTGCGGGCTTGATGCGCCCCTTTGGTGCATGGCGTGTCTTGGCGTGTCCTTCTTGCCGTGTGTGGTGCCAGCCGGCTCTTCACGATTGTGGCAATGGCGTGTTGACAGCTGTGTTTGGGTTGGCGTTGGATGTTCCACCCTCTGGGGCTACGAGGGCGGATGTGTCACGATGAGCGACACCAATCGCGCACGACGCCTAATCTGCAGGCAAGTGACGCACCGATTGCCGACGTGGCGCGGCCCTCTTGCCTTTTTCGTCCCTCTGGTAGCCTACAGTCTGATGTCTAGCCGTAGTGGTCTCCTCTTTTCTCACTCCTTTTGTGTGTGACCGCATTCATTGACCACAACAATTGTACAACACAAGTATTACAGAGTGCAGGTTTGTGTGTGTGTGTGTGTGTGCCTGTTGCCGTGGATTGGAGTGTGTGTCGTGCGTGGTGTGCGGCGTACGGTGCATGCCTGGCTGCTGCCCTCTCCTCATGTGGTGTGCCCTCTTTGTGTGTCTGCCGCACCTCTCGTCTCCCCTGTTGCTCTCCATGTCCCTCACTGTGCAGATCAGCTCCACACCACTGAACGACCACACTCACGATGATGACGTGCCGTCTGCTGTGCGCCCTGTTGGTGCTCACCCTGTGCTGCTGCCCGTCCGTCTGCGTGGCAGTAAGTGAAATTAATGATGACCCCAGTGCGGTCCCCGCTGTGCCAAAGGTACCAGGGGTACAGGAACCAGTTGAGAAGGGAGTGGAACAAAGCGAAAGAGTAGAGAAGCCAGTTATTGCGGCCGGTATGGAAAACACACAAGGTATGGTATCCGGTGGGTCGTCCAACAGTCAAGGTGCTTCAGGTGTGTCCGGTCAGTCCACGTTACAAACTCATGGCGTTCCGCTACGGCCACCTACTGTACCAACCGTTGCGTCAGGGGAACAAAATGGGCTGATTGTACCCGAAAAAAAAGAAGAGAAGAAGACGACTGCATCAACGACCACGACGACCACAACCACAAAGGCACCAACCACCACCACGACGAAAACTACAGAGGCGCCAACCACGACGACCACCCGCGCACCGTCACGTCTTCGTGAAATCGACGGCAGCCTCAGCAGCTTTGCGTGGGTATGTGCCCCGCTGCTGCTCGCCGCATCCGCGCTGGCGTACACCACTCTGGGCTGAAGAGGTGTATGAGGGCTGTGCGTGCCAGCACTTAGTCACGGGGATTTGTGTGCGTCCACTGTGGTCCGATGTAACTAAATAAGAGATAATAATGATTTTGTGTTTTGCTTCATTTGCTTCAGCTGCGCTGCTGTGTGCTCCATCTTGTTGCTCCCTGTATCCGTCACGTTGAACGCATCCCAGACACACTTATATGCACGACACGCTCACAACTGTTTGCGTGGACGCATTTTTGCATGTGGATGCATGCACACTGGCGCCATACTGTGCGGCTCCTTTTATTAAAGTTCTTTGTTGCTTTTTTACTTGTGTTTTTAATTGTTTTGTTTTTCTTGTTTTCTCTTGCTGATTAATTATTGCGGGGCATTGTGCGTTTTTTGACTTTTATTGGTTTAATGTTTCTCATGAAATGCGTGCTGTTGTTGCTGATGTTTTTTACTGTGCCGTGTCTTTTGTTTTTGCTTTCACTCTGCGTTGACGGGGCGTTAGTTTGTGCTGAAGGCTGCACGCAAGTGACAGGAGTGATGGCGATGATGATGACTGGCCGTGTGCTGCTGGTGTGTGCCCTCTGCGTGCTGTGGTGCGGTGCCGGCGGTGGCTGTACTGAAGGCGGTGAGACACCTGTTGAGAGTAAACTCGGTAATACTGCGAGCGGTGCTGAAGTTCTGCAAGCAAAACCCGAGACGGCAGAATCAGGCATTCCGGGAACGCAACCACAAGTACCAATAGATAATGAGGAAGCAAAACGCCTAATTGGAGAGGGATCTTTGGAAGGAAGCGAAGATAACGTTGTTGCAGACACAGAAGATCTTTCTGAAGACGATGAAGGAGGTGAGGAAGAAGGAAATGAGGAAACCCAAAGAAAAAAATTGAACGGAAGACAGGAGGAACATGAAGAAAAGGGACCTGCAAGTGGCCTTGACACCTCGAACGGGTCGTCAATTGAGAGTCAGCTACAAACGCTCCAGACAAATTCATCTACAGGTAGCAGTCCTCCTTCCAGTAGTCTGAAAGCGATTCCCGATCCCACGCAAACAGGAATTAAAGAAAACGGCGTCTCCGTTACAAATCCACCGACAGGTGAAGAAACACTCAAAGAAGATACCAGAGACAACGTACCACATGGTGGACTTGCGAAATTAACTCTTCCACCTCCTCCAGAACACAGTGCTGCTGCCAGTGGAATTTTTGCCGAATACAAGAAAGACGAAGGTCAACAAGATGCTAATTTGCATAGCACTGCGACCACAGTACAAGACAGTCAGGACGACACTACGAAAAACACTAAGAAAGAAACAATACCAACCGCTATAAAAACTGATACTGAGACTACACAGCACAATGACAGCAGCCCAGCAGAACTAACGGCCCCGCAGTCTGACGCTGGTGTGGAGAGCACTCCGTCGACCAATTATTCAAGGCATTCATCCACTGAGGACGCTGCACGGCTCAGTGAGACCAACGATGCTGAAGACGCATTAGGCAGCACAGAGAATGCGGACTCTAAGATTGCAGAAACCGAAAAGGCGCCTCTCGCCACCGCCAACACAACTGACACGACGAACACACAAAACGGTGACGGCAGCACCGCGGCCTCCCACACCACCTCCCCTCTTTTGCTTCTTCTTCTTGTTGTTGCGTGTGCGGCTGCTGCTGCGGTGGTGGCCGCGTGAGAGTGAGGGAGAGAGAGCCGTGCACCGCCCGCACACACACTCGTCCTTCACTCACTCTCTGTGTGTGTGTGTCCCCTTGCATGGACTCTCGCCCTCACTCTCATCCCACGAAGCACACACATAATGTGCCCATTGTATATATGCATGCACACCCATGCATGCCCGTTGGCGCTCTCTTTTGCACGACACGCACCGCTGCCGTCCTGCCTGGCTGCATGGGCGGAGCACCGTAACTGTTTCTGTTTTGTTTTCATTGCATTGAGTGGGCGACCTCTCTCTCTCTCTCCCTGTGTGTGTGTTTTGCTTTACGGGAGCAATGAGAGTATGTGCGCTGGTCGTCCCACGCTTGTTTTTTTTGTTGTTTTACTTGTGTTGTGGTTGAGCACATAAACTCCGTCTTTTGATCGGCGGCATGTTTTGACTGCTATCACTTTAATCCTCCCTTGTCATTCCCATATTGTTTTTCTTGTTGCTGGGGAGGGTTTCAGTCCCTCGTAATCTTGCCAAGCCACTCAGTGTTTCTTTCCGCGTGTGCCATGCGCCATTTTATCCACGTTCCCCGCGGCCAGCAGCGCTGCTTCTTCTGCTTGTGATGATGTTTGTGATGTGATTTGCCAGTTGGTGCTTTTGTTTCACCTTGACGTATCCTTTTTCTTTTGACGCTGCGATACGTCCGACGGCGCGTGATTGATTCTCCTGACGGTGAGGGACATGCCTCTCAGAGCGCAGGATGCGTCGCGGGTGGACAGCGGCTTTGGGAAGGACCGACGAGTGGCGGTCCGCATCAATTTGTCAACAAGGGACTTGGATGACAGCAGGAGGCACCGCGGCTTCTCCCGGTCTCACGCAATGAATTCATTGAATGACAATCGCCACTGTGAGGATAGTGTTCTATTCTTTGCGCACGGTAATATCCTTGCCGAGGAGACTGTCCCTGCTGCTGTGTAATTGCATGCGGATCGTCTGCTCGTCCAGCCACCGGAGGGTCCGTTGATTGTGCCCCCATTTGCCACGGGCAGCGTTTGCAGTTGGTTCACGGTGACTGCTGGGCATTGTTGCTCTGGTGTTTCCAATTCTGTCATGGTGCTGTCCGTGGCTGCTGCGCTTGGTGGTGTGTGGGCACTGCCGTGCGTCACGCTGGGGGATGGCCGTCCCATCGCTGGCACCACGCACTTTGCCCGGCCATTTTATTCCACGGACGCATCGCCACCCGCATCGCCGCGCACCTGTTGGCCCATGCTGTCGGGTTCAACTTCCCGCACATGGCCAGCCGCAGCATGGTGAGGCATGCTATTGGTGTGCGTGGCAGGGCGCTGTCGGTGGTGGTGCACTCGACGAATGCCGCGATGGCTGCGAGGGAGCACCACGACTGCGACGACATTGATGGCATGGAACTGCAGGATAACGATGGGGACGGGAGGACGCTGGAGTCGCACTGGTCGCGGCGCCACGCGAGGGATGAGTGGATGGCACCGATTGTGGGCGCCGGCGACTGCAGAGGAAGTGCTCCGCACTGAACATGAGTGAATATCGCCACATGCTCTGCGACGTGGGTGTCCCTGTCAAACGCTGCGCGTCGGACTGGTATTCCAGTGGTCGCTGTGCAGACGGAGTATCCATGAAATGTCAGCAAAACGCCCGATGGGCCGTTGCCCCATCACTGATCCCGCACTGGATGTGAGGGATATTGACGCTGTTATTTGGAGGGGAGAATATTTGTCTGCGATGCCTGGGGATGAGCCCTCTTCGTGGTGTCCGGACACGCTTCCCACCAACACGACGGATGCGAGGGACTCGGAGGAGACACATCTCAGTGTTGCCATGCATGCGGCATTGAGGTGCCTCAGCATGCATTTGCATCTGGAAGTGACTGAAAAGGGTAACGTCCGTTGTGTCCCATGCACGGACGGGGCGACGATTGCGTGGGCCACTCCGCCCTACGATGAGGGAAACGTTATTTGCCGTGACCACGCGCAGGTGTGCACGATATCTGCCACCAGCGGTAGCCTACTTCCATTGGTTCCGTGGGACGGTGAGGAGAGGGCGTGTGGAGCAGGACGGTTTCACCGGCATCTACTGAAAAAGGATTGCCACGGGCTTCCGTCCCCGTTGCGGAGAGCATTGAGACCGACCGCGGCACACCACCGAAGGACGTAGACACGGCTGCTCTCCAGAAGCGTCCGTTGACAGAGGAGAAGTGGATCCGGCCAGGATGCCCCGACAGACCGCAAGAAGCTTCTCTCGGTGGCAGGGATCGAAGCAGCGAGACGGACGGCAGGCAGGCCTCGTCTCCGACTCCCGGTGATGGCACTGCTGCTGCTGCTTGTCCCTGTCCGCTGCTTCTTCTGCTTGCCTCTGCTGTCGCCGCGGCAACACTCCATCGAGTTGCGGTGTGGACGGCGTTGCGCTGCAAGGTGACTGCGCTTCCTCCTGCGTGGCCTGCACTCAGCATTGGATGCCCAATAGGAAAAATATTCATTTCAATGGGTCCCTTTCTCCATATGCATGTGCTGTGTCCGCTCCGTTTTTGTGTTTGAAATTGGTGGTATTTCCGATGCACACAGCTCTTCCCGTGTTGGTTGCCGATGTTGGGGGCACCGTATGGTAGTATGGCATTGCTTGTGTGTTTGTTAGATTTTCTGAGACGCAAATACACACACCGGTGCGAGTGAAATGTGCGCACACAAGAGACACACACACATATCCAAGCACATTGTCTGTGTGACTTCTACTTGACATATTATGCGGGGCGGGTTGGTGCGGTCAAGGCCGACGGAAGCGGGCAGCTGCGTGAGCCCAGCAATTGCGTTCGTGGTTGTGTGCGGGATTATATATTCCATCAGATGCTTAACGCCGTTCATGGATCGTTTAAAGTTTTCTGCGTTGCCCATGCTGCGTCTGTGCTGAGCTGCTCACTGCGTCTCCATGATCTCATGGAGCACGACATGACGCTACTCGAGGACCCCATGACACCGCGGCAGCCGATTATGAGTAGCCCTGCACCCTACTTTTTTCCGTGGAGGATGCGTCTGTGAGCCGCGTGGTTGAGGATTGGATGGCAAAGGTCCCATACAGGGATGCACACATCTTTGCGCTGGGGTGCACTCCGCATCGCAGTCCTCAGCAACTCCCGCGGGCTCGGATAGCGCCGAGGGCGATGCGTTCCAAGGAAATGGTGTTATACTTTACTGCCCCTGAGGTGCTGGTGTTCCACCTCAGCATGCAGAATGGGTTCCCTCAGCTGCTGTCGCCGCTGTCGCCTCCGAATTGAGTGTCCGTTTTGGATGTTGCGGCGTCACGTCTTGTGGCGGCCTTTTACGCCATGAACAACGGTGTGCCCGGCATTTGCCAACAAAACAGTGGCAATATCTGCCATGGGTTTGCCAGGACCTTTTTTGAGGGCTTGCCAGGCAATACCACGACGAGCCGGATTTCACTTAGGGGCGCCGACAGCCGCGGCAACCCGGTGCGGATCATCGTTGATTGGGGCTGTGTCACGGTGACGCCGCTGATGCACCAACGCACATGTCAGTGTCTGCTTGATGACCTGATGCCGTTGGAGAATAACTTGTATGAGCAGACCTGTAGGAATTGTCTGGGGGTGGACTCGAAGCGGCAGTAATTGGTGAGGAAGATGTGTACTGGTGCTCCTGCCGTCATTGATTCCTTGCGCAGTGCGTGGAGGAGCCTTCGGTGGCGCTGAAAAAACTCCACGCGTATCACCCGGGATTGGCGCAGGGCGTGGAGCCGAAGGCCAAGCTTGTGAGGTTGGGCAGTGCGGTGCGGGCTCCGCCGGAGTTTCGGGAGAGGCAAGCCAGACTGTCGCTGCACATCGATATTTGCGCGAGGCTTTTGGCACAGTACCGGGAGAAGCGACTGTCAGAGGTGCGGGAGGTGGAACAAGACATCGCCGTTGGGCACCAACCCCTCAGGAAATACCTGGATGGCGTGCGGCACCTGACGAGGGATGCCGCGATGCCCCGGCCAGTGCGACTGCGTCTTTTCCTGTTGCTTGTGGCTGCGAGCAACACCGACGAGTTGACGGAGGCCAAGAAGCAGCAGCTGATCCGAGACGGTGTACTGACGCCCGACGCCCATTTGTTTGTGAACCTTGAGCATGTGACGAGGAGGGCCGGGAGCGTGCAACGATACAGCACGGCGTCGGCGCAGAGCGGACGGAGCACGAGTGCCTCTGCGAGCAACGCCGCGACGGACGAGGATTCGTTTCTGAAGCATGCCTGTATGATGATGGAGACGGCGAACAGGAATAGGACGCTGCGGGTTGGGCTGTCGTTGGCATCGATGGAGCGCGATCATGTGATAGGGCCAAATGGCGCGAGTGGTGGCCAAAACAGTGGAGAAGCAGGAAAAAACGCCGAGCCATTTCAAGGGTGTGGTGGCAAAGGGGAGAATCATCCTGAGCTGGGTGGCGGTGGCGGTGGTGGGACGATTGCCCTCACAACTCCTCAGCGCATTGTGCTGCTTGTTTTGGGTGGTGTGGCCTGCAGCGAGAGGCGCTCGGTCCATGAGATATCCAAAAGACATGGCCGTGAGGTGGTCATTGGGAAACCTCGCTGCTGCGTCCTGAGTCCTTTGTGTGCAGGGACTTGGCATCCTACGGCAGTAGGACTTAGGGGCGAGACACGCAGAGGAATGCATCGAGGGCCAAAGAGTGGAACAGATGCAAACACACACGATTGCGGGTGTCCATGGGGATTGTGTGCGCTTCTTCTTGCCTTCCCTTTCTTTCCACGAAGCGTTTCATACGATGCGCGTGTGTGTGTTTCAACGGCCGCGCTGCTTGCCTTTTGCTTTTTTTTTTTGCCTGCGTGTGCGGTTGCAGGTCATTTCTCTGCTACGATAAAGGCGGTTAAAAAAGGAGGGACATTTGTGGAGCATGCACCCACGGCTTCAGTGTTCATCCACTGGTGCTGACCTTTCTCGCTGGGGCATTTGTGCACGCTTTTCCCTCCAATGTCTATTTTTTTTTTTTGCACAGGAGGCAACGGGTGGGCATTCGTGAGTGCTGCGGCGGGCTGTTGTTGCCCTCGCCGGGACGCGCTTAACGGCGTCAGCTCCATGACTTTGGTGCACAAAAGGAATGGAACGTTCTTTGGATTCTCACCGCAGGCGCATGCCGTGGACGGCCGAAAAGGAGTGTGTGCCCGGTGGTTTTCATGGCTCCAAGGAAAAGATGGTGTTGGATGGTGCACAACGAGTGGATGTGGAATGCGTTGGCCGTGCATCGCAGACGTATTCGCTGGAGGCATTGCGGGCGACCGTGGCCAGTTACGAGTACAATACATTTAGAGGAAAGAACATTTTAATTGGCTTTTCAGGCGGAATCCAATGTACTCAGGCGATGGGTTTACTGCAAGGAGTGGCCGGAGGGGACATACGACGAGGACGCCACCAGCACCGCCATTCATTTCCGTCGCCGCGAGACCACAACGCAGCCCGCGCCAATACGTCTTGCGGATTTTCCGGGTTGGCGTGCACTGTTCCGCTTGGCGCCACTGTTCCCCCATCCCCGAGCGTCGGTGCAGACTCCCTGTCGATGCATGTTCCTATCGATTGCGGGCACACACCCATTGATTGATGATGCGGCCGACACCCCAGCCCATTGCTGGTACTTCTGGCATGACCGCTGCACCGCCCCCAGCAGCTGGTACAGCGGGACTGGGACGAGAACAAGGCAGACCAAGTTCAGTCAGATGGTGCTGGCAGCCCTGTCAGCGTCTCGCCTACCCCAGCGGCCCACCACACCACCAGCGAGCACAGAAATCGACGGGACAGGGAAGGCATTGACGGAGTGTCAGGACACCAGTTGTCTTCCCACATGACTCCTAGTCAAGCAACCAGAAGAATTAACAACAACATCATTCACCAGCAATGAAAAAGGAACAACAACCATTGCCGACAGTGACAGCAGCACCGAGGTGTCCCACACCACCATCTTTTGCTTCTTAATGTCACGTATGCGTGCTGCTGCAGCTGCGGTGGTTCCCAGGCCTGCATGAAGTGGTGTGCGCTGAATGTGAAGGAAGGCCTATGGCAACTGAACTGTTTTTGTGATGAATATTGGCTGCACTTCCCGTGGGCCGACGATCCACGTGGTGTGCGGGGATCTCTCCTTTTTTATTGTTACTTTGCTTTTGTGTTGCTGTGTGCGCTGCACCTCCTCTTGTGTGTGTGCGTACCCTCCGTGAGGGGTGCCGACACGACGGACCGCTCTCGCCGTATGTGCATGCGGTGGAGCCTTGTGTGCCGCTCCTGTTTGCTTCTCCCTCCTCCATCTGTGTGTTGGTGTTGCGGCAGGGCTGTGTGTGTGTGTGCCTGTTGCCGTGGATTGGAGTGTGTGTTGTGCGTGGTGTGCGGCGTACGGTGCATGCCTGGCTGCTGCCCTCTCCTCATGTGGTGTGCCCTCTGTGTGTGTCTGCCGCACCTCTCGTCTCCCCTGTTGCTCTCCATGTCCCTCACTGTGCAGATCAGCTCCACACCACTGAACGACCACACCCACGATGATGACGTGCCGTCTGCTGTGCGCCCTGTTGGTGCTCGCCCTGTGCTGCTGCCCGTCAGTGGGCGGGACAGCGGCTAATGAAGATACAGTTGATAACCCTGGAGAACACTCCGATCCAACGAAGCCTAAGCCAGAGGTAAAAAATCAGGTGACGCAATTGCCTAGTACAACTCCTCTTTCGTCAAAAGTAAGTGGGGGAGGGAAAGGAATGGCAAAGTCACAAAGTGATCTCAACCAGGCACAGGGTCAGGAAAAAGATGAGAAATCCACTAATGAAGAGGTGGATGGTGATGAAACCGATAACGCAAAAGACCAAAATCAAAAAACAAATGCAATAAATAAGACAACCACTACGACAACCACGACAACCACAACGACCACGACAACACAGGCACCAACCACTACAATGACTACCAAGACACCAACTACGACGACCACCCGCGCACCGTCACGTCTTCGCGAAATCGACGGCAGCCTCAGCAGCTCTGCGTGGGTGTGTGCCCCGCTGCTGCTCGCCGCATCCGCGCTGGCGTACACCACTCTGGGCTGAAGAGGTGTATGCGGGCTGTGCGTGCCAGCACTCAACCACGGGGATTTGTGCGCGTCCACTGTGGTCCGATGTATATAAATAAGAGAAAATAATGATTGTGTTTTGCTTGACTTCCTTCCGCTGCCCTGCTGTGTGCTCCATCTTGTTGCTCCCTGTATCCGTCATGTTGAACGCATCCCAGACACACTCGTATGCTCAACACGCATACAACTGTTTGCCTGGAATCACATTTGAGGATAGGTTCATGCACACGGGAGCCATACTGTGCAGCCCCTTGTTTTTTGTGTGTTTTTACATTTTTTACTTTATAGCTGCTTGTTTACCTGTGTTTTGTTTTTAATTGCTTTGTGTGTTTTCTCTGTTTACTTGCTGCGGGGCGTTGTGTGTGTTTTTGCCCTTTCACTGATTTCAACTGCCTCATGGTGTGTGCTTTGCTGCTTCTGGGCTGCTATTATTTGTGACTGTGCGGTCGCTGTGCGTGGTGTAGTGGTCGTGTCTTTCTTTTTTTGCGTTCACTCTGCGTTGACGGGGTGTTGTTATTTTGTGCTGAAGGCTGCACGCAAGTGACAGGAGTGATGGCGATGATGATGACTGGCCGTGTGCTGCTGGTGTGTGCCCTCTGCGTGCTGTGGTGCGGTGCCGGCGTTGTTGTGACTGATGGAACTGGAATGGATGCACAAGCCAGTGTGGCGCAACCTGGTCCTAGTGAGCCACAGATAACAGCTGGCGGAAATGGAGAAAATGAAGGAGAAAAAGATGTTACAAAAAATGAGGAACACAAACTATCAAAACAAGAGAAAGATGACGTTGAAAAGAAAAACCAAGAGCAAATCTTACCAGAAGAACACGATCAAGCACTAAAAAATAAAGCAGCAGAAAAACCCGCAGGGGAGCCATCGGAAGAAATAAAAATCGATGTTGATTCTGAAGTTGAAGAAGAAATAAGTCTTGTGGATGGTGGGACTCCAAAACAAGATGAAAAAGAACTGGGCCAAGAAGCAGTAGAAGTTGTACTTGGCAAAGATGATTCACCGGTGAATTTAACTGTCAGCCGTCAGGAAGGATCAGGCATACATGCAGAGGACCTTGAGGGAAAAAGCGAACACGAGGGTGAAAAAGAAGGGGAACAACACGTTCAACACCAAGAAGAAAATAAAGGAAAAAAACAAGACAAGGAAGATACAGAAGAAAATGACCAAATGCTACAGCAACAGGATCAAGGACTAGAACATACGGCAGACAAACAAAAAGGATCCAAAAAAGATGAAAAAGCTGTTGGCACAGCCGACACAGCACGTACAGGCGACAGCGACAGCAGCACCGCGGTCACCCACACCACCTCCCCTCTTTTGCTTCTTATTGTTGTTGCGTGTGCGGCTGCTGCTGCGGTGGTGGCCGCGTGAGAGTGAGGGAGAGAGAGCCGTGCACCGCCCGCACACACACTCGTCCTTCACTCGTCCTTCTCTCACTCTCTGTGTCCCCTTGCACGGACTCTCGCCCTCACCTCACCCCACGAGGCACACACATAATGTGCCCATTGTATATATTGCATGCACACCCATGCAGGCCCGTTGGTGCTCTCTTTTGCACGACACGCACCGCTGCCGTCCTGCCTGGCTGCATGGGCGGAGCACCGTAACTGTTTCTGTTTTGTTTTTATTGCCTTGAGTGGGCGACCTCTCTCTCTCCCTCCCTGTGTGTGTGTTTTGCTTTACGGGAGCAATGAGAGTGTGTGCGCTGGTCGTCCCACGCTTCGGCTTCTTTTTTTTTGTCTATTTTATTTTTTTTACTTGTGTTGTGACTGAGTGCACCCATTCCAGTTTTTTTTTTTTAATTATTGGTGGATTGCTTTGACTGTGGACGCCTAATTTCTCTTTTTTGTATTCTTATCTTTTTCCTTTCTTCTTGAGAGGGTGTCAGTCTCTTTTATCCTTGTCACGCTACCAAGTTTTTTTGACATACGCCATGCGTCAGTTGATCCGCTTTACTCTGCTGTCTGCATCGCTGCTGCTGCTGCTATTGATGATGCCTGCGATGTGATTTGTCGGCGGATGTCTTGCTGTCAGCCTGACGTATCCTTTGCTCCTTGACGATTTGTTGCGCACAGACGGTGCGTGGGCGTCTCTGGTGATAGTGAGGGACGCGTGTCTCAGAGCGCAGGATGCGTCGCGGGTGTGCGGCGTCGTTTGTGAGGACCGATGGGTGACCATCCGCATCCAGGCGTCATCAAAGCACTGTGAGGGCAGCATAAGGCACTGCGGCTTCTTTTGGTGTTGCGCAAAGAATTTATTGGACGGTGCGTTTGTTTTCAATCTTTTGCAGCTTTTGTGGGGAAGGTGGGAGGTTGAGGGCATGAGGACTGAATTCATTTGAGTGGCTGCGTTCCGTTGACTTGCGGCCAGTCGTGGCACTCTTTTGGGTTTTGGCGGCTCGTCTCTTTTGTTTACTTCCCACTGCAGCACGTGGACAACACTGATCCGAAGAACATTTGTTTGACCGCGTGTGAGCTGCTGCCGTGCGTGGTGCATGGACTATGTGATTGTGTGGGGAGGTGCATTGGGGTGACGAATATTTCTGTTTGGCGTGTCGCGGTGTGTTGGAATGATGTTCGGATGACATGTGAAGGGTGTTGTTTGTGATTTGTGTGTCTTCTCTGGTGGAGCCGACATGTGTGCGGGGATTGTGGCATTGCTGGCTGACAGCTCCACGTCACTTTTCAGCATTCCTGGATGTGCTGAGGGATGACGGCTGGCGACCAGCGTGTTGTTGCTGCTGGTGGGAATAAGTGCATCGGGAATAGGCCGTTTTCTCTTTTCCGTGCTGGAGCCGATGAACTGGCACGAGGGCACCGGCTGCAGGCTGCCTGCCAGCACGTGTGAGCAGCGGATCCATGCACGCACCGACGCTCATCGCAAGAGCGTGTGCGATCACAGTGGCCTTTTGTGGCGTGCTTTTGTGGGCGTCAGCCCATCGAAGAATGTGTGAAGCAAACGGCTGACTGCACACGAGGAAAAATAAGTGCGTGCACTGTGCCGTGTTTCAGCGTCGATGGCAGGGCGGCAGGAAGCCCGTGCTGGCAACTGAGATCTTTGCGTCGCGAGGGATGTCGGTGTTGACTTTGGATCGTCGAGGGTGAAATGATTTAGCTGCTGCCCGTGTGTGTGTGGCCACTCCGGCAGAGGGCGGACACAAAATGGAGGGATGCAGGCGCTGCGTGTGTGTGTGCAGGTGCCATGCAACAACGTCACAATAAACATGCTGCGACTCGGTGACCCTCACATCGTTGTGGTCCTCACGAGCAGCCGAGGCACGGCCCACACCGATGCACTTAGTGGACGGAGTGAGGCATCTTTTGAGGCGCTGCAGGGAACAGGATGTGTTGACGCAGCCACGACGTGCATGGAGTGTCACGATGGCACAGTCAGCTGCGGCTGGTGGAATATTTACTTTTCGAAGGCAACAGAGAGGGAGAGCTGCTCCTGCTGCTGGCGTCGTTGCTGCCTCTTGTGGCCTCCCATGCCGATTATTGTCTGTCCGCTGATCATGGGTGGCATGCCTCCACTAGTGGCGTCGTCTGCAGGCATTTCACAGCACCAGTGAAACACACACCACGTCGCATGCTTTGGCTGTGGATGTGGTGTCGTGAATGCAGCCGGCATTATTTTGCCCGACTCCTTTTCACTGCATTGCGGCAAATAGATGCGTCGCCGCCCGAGTCATTCACTGCAGCTGCGTGTGTTGTACTGCCAGCACAAGACTCTCTTGTTGTCTGACGCCTGGCTGACAGTCAAACACCACTGCGTTGGGACATGCAGGGATGTGGACTGCCGCTCACGGTGTTGGGCACCGCTGTTTGGATGCGGCGGCCACACGAGCGGATGTATTGTGGCACAACCGAATGCGTGAAATACGCGGAATCGCAGCGGCTGCAATAATATCAGTGGTGTGGCACCACGGAGTATGTGAGGGGGTGATGCATGATGAATCACAGTGGGCGGCATGCGAGGGAAGTGCACCGCGACGGAGCGTCATCCCGCCCTCAGCCTGCAGGGGAATGTACACCCACAAAATATATGGGCGAGACACCACCAAACACACATGCCCTTCCATGCACCAATAAATAGGAGCGAAGGTGCGTTCTGATGCGTGGGAGTCCACACACATATTTTCATTCCCACCACAATAAACGGTGAGGAATCAGGAGCCACAGCGACGAAAGGAAAAACAAACATCTATTGCAGCACTTTACCGGCGAAGAGCAGGAACATCACAAACCGAATTGTTGGCTGCACCAACACAAGAAACATTCACAAGAGGAAAGAATCAAATAATTTTGCACCCTGCAGAAATCCCCAACACACGACCCAGGCATGAAGGTTTGCCCTCCGCAAAAACAAAAACAAAAAAACAGCGCATGCAGGCATCTTCCAACATCCAAACAGAAACACAAATAAATGGTTGCTTGCATTATTCCATTCCTTGCAATTATTTTTGCGTGTGCTGCTGCTGCGGTGGTGGCGTCCGGGCCTGCATAAAGTGGTGTGCGCTGAATATGAACGAAGACCGATGGCAACTGAATTGTTTTTGTGATGAATATTGGCTGCACTTCCCGTGGACCAACAATTCACGTGGTGTGCGGGGATCTCTCCTTTTAATTGTTAATTTGCTTTTGTGTTGCTGTGTGCGCTGCACCTCCTCTTGTGTGTGTGCGTACCCTCCGTGAGGGGTGCCGACACGACGGACCGCTCTCGCCGTATGTGCATGCGGTGAAGCCTTGTGTGCCGCTCCTGTTTGCTTCTCCCTCCTCCGTCTGTGTGTTTGTGTTGCGGCAGGGCTGTGTGTGTGTGTGCCTGCTGCCGTGGATTGGAGTGTGTGTCGTGCGTGGTGTGCGGCGTACGGTGCATGCCTGGCTGCTGCCCTCTCCTCATGTGGTGTGCCCTCTGTGTGTGTGTCTGCCGCACCTCTCGTCTCCCCTGTTGCTCTCCATGTCCCTCACTGTGCAGATCAGCTCCACACCACTGAACGACCACACTCACGATGATGACGTGCCGTCTGCTGTGCGCCCTGTTGGTGCTCGCCCTGTGCTGCTGCCCGTCAGTGGGCGCGACAGATGCTAATGAAGATGAAGAAGGTTCCGGTCCAACGACGTCTACGCCAGGGAAACAAGCTCAGGAAACGGAATCGCCTAGTACAACTTCTTCCCCGCCAAAGATAAACGATGAAGGGGGAGGGACGGGTCAGTCACAGGAAACGGGTACAATAACCAGAACGCCACAGTCACAAAATACTTCCAGTAATACACAGGGTCAAGATGGTGGGAAGTCTAATGAACGGACAGAACATACGAATGCCGTTACGGCAAATGAACAAAAGAAGGCCGCCGCACCAACAACGACCACCACGAGTAGAACACAGGCACCAACCACTACGACAACCACAACCACCACTGCGCCAGAGGCAACAAGTACTACGGCTACAGAGGCGCCAACCACGACGACCACCCGCGCACCGTCACGTCTTCGCGAAATCGACGGCAGCCTCAGCAGCTCTGCGTGGGTGTGTGCCCCGCTGGTGCTCGCCGTATCCGCGCTGGCGTACACCACTCTGGGCTGAAGAGGTGTGTGTGGGCTGTGCGTGCCAGCACTCAACCGCGGGGATTTGTGTGCGTCTACTGTGGTCTGATGTAAATAAATAAGAGAAAATAATGATTGTGTGTTTTGCTTCATTTGCTTCTGCTGCTCTGCTGTGTGCTCCGTGTTGCTGCTCCCTGTATCCGTCACGTTGAACGCATCCCAGACACACTTATATGCACGACACGCATACAACTGTTTGCGTGGACGCATTTTTTGGGTGCTGGTGCATGCGCACTGGAGTCATTCGGTGCAGCTCCTTTTATTAAAAATTTTTGTTTCTTTTTTACTCTTGTTTTTAATTGTTTTGTTTTTCTTTTTTTCTTGCTGATTAATTACTGCAGGACTGTGTATTTGCCTATTTTGCCCTTTCACTGATTCCAACTGCATCATGGTGTGTTTGTCACTGCTGGGGTGCTGCCATTTGTTACTGTACGTGGCTGTGTGACTTGTCTCTTCCCTTTTGCCTTTGCCTTTCACTTTGCGTTGACGGGGAGTTAGTTTGTGCTGAAGGCTACACGCAAGTGACAGGAGTGATGGCGATGATGATGACTGGCCGTGTGCTGCTGGTGTGTGCCCTCTGCGTGCTGTGGTGCGGTGCCGGCGGTAGTTGTGACGAGGAGAAGGCAGATGAATTCTGCAATAACACGTACTTTGGGGTTTTGACTTTACTTGCGAATAAGTCTGATGAAGAGCTTAAGGAGAAATACTGCAAAAAAGAGGATGATAAAGCAAAGTGTGTGAATACGTTGAAGAACAATATTGCAGATGCGCTGGAGAATGAAAAGAAGAAGAAAGACAACGGAGCTGACAGAGAGCCTAACGTTGCGCATGGTGCGGGAGTGCCAGTTGGCAGCTCAAAAACGAAATCTTCAACGGCTGCTGGCGCGGATAATGCCGGAATGTCTTCTCCACTTCCTCTTTCCTTAAAGGTGGAAGGTGATGTCGATGCCCAAATCCACAACCCAGCAGGTGGTGCTGGCCACCAGCCGCATTTCGATGACGGCCGCAGAGAAGCAGAGCGAAGTCATCACTCAGAGGCGGAGGGATCGAATCAACACGGCGTGGGCGTGCAAGGCAAAACGATCCACAACAAAGACGAAGAAAAACCACAAGCAGGACTGAAGTCGACCGAAGCACGGGAGGGCACGGACGGAGCACCAGCACCATCACAGGATCCACCAAATACGGCTGAATCACACGAGGATAAATCCCGGAGAGTGGCTGCACCCGACACAACTCCCGCACTGAATACATCACCAGGCAGCAACCGGGAGCAAACATCCCAGTCTCCATCTCCCAGTGGCAGTGAAACCTCCGGCAGCTCGGATAACGAGGGCCCAGAAAAAAACTCCATCAATACACTAATGTCTGGTGCCCCACTGAAAGATGAAGGACAGCACCGTGAGAGTACAGCTGGGAATGAAGGCGCAACAACAGTTGAATCTGCCGCTGTGCAAAGTAACACAACGACACCTGGCGACAGTGACAGCAGCACCGCGGTCACCCACACCACCCCCCCTCTTTTGCTTCTTCTTGTTGTTGCGTGTGCGGCTGCGGCTGCGGTGGTGGCCGCGTGAGAGTGAGGGAGAGAGAGAGCCGTGCACCGCCCGCACACACACTCGTCTTTCACTCACTCTCTGTGTGTGTCCCCTTGCATGGACTCTCGCCCTCACCTCATCCCACGAAGCACACACATAATGTGCCCATTGTATATATGAATGCACGCCCATGCATGCCCGTTGGTGCTCTCTTTTGCACGACACGCACCGCCTCCGTCCTGCCTGGCTGCATGGGCGGAGCACCGTAACCGTTTTGTACCGTTTTTTGGTAAAAGTTTTAGTTTAATTTCTATTTGCTGCAAAATTCTTTTATTTTCATTTTTAATATTTTATTGTTTTTTTTGCTTTTACTTTGGGCGTTTTTTTCTCTAATCTCTCATCCCTTTGTTTTTTTTTGCTTTTGGGGCAATCAATATGGACGTTTTTTTCTTTTCTACTCTTCCCTCTTTTAATTGTTTCTTCTGCACTCTTCCTGTGAGGGGTGCCGTGTGTTTCCCGCCCAACTGCTCCACTCGCACACCCACCGACACGCTCATGACGACGGCCCTGTGCGCCTCGCCTGCTGCACGCATGAGGAGGGGCCGCGACGAACGGCGTGCTGAGGGAGCCGTGACGTGTGGGCGTGCAACGAGGGCCTGTGGGGCGGAGCACACATTTCTTTCCCTCTTGTTTTGTTTTCTTTTGCGGCCAGGGCGGGCAGACACCCGCAGCGCCACACACACAGCCACACCCTGCCGCCGTGTTTTTCTTCTGTTTTGTTTTCGTTTTGTTTTGTTTTTTGTGGATAGGTGTGTGCTGCCACCGTGTGTGATTGTTGATGTTGAGGCCGCACCGCATGTACCGCTGCCATCCAGCTGTGCCTCTTGCTGTTCTGATGTGCCTCCCTGTGCTTCTTTTTTCAGCTTCTCCAACAGAGACCCACACACACATATAAGTAGTTGCACAGTGCTCTGCAAGAATGTATTTGCAATTCCGGTTGCGGGCGTTGCTCGGTGTGTGATGATGCGTGACGGACTGTGCCGCGATAGTCTCCTCTGACGATGACAGTCGCTGTGCTCTTGGCACACATCCACACACCCTTCCTTGTCTCTCTGTGGGAGTGATTGCGGCAGGGCATTGCTGCGAGCGTGATGGGGACCACGACGGCGTCAGCCCTCGAGAAGGTCCCACGCTCTGTTAGTTGTGGAGCGGCGAGGCGGTTTTCTTGCAGCCCGACTGACAGAACCGCACAGTCGTTTCATTGCGGTCACTCCGTCGGCATCACCCGCTGCGGTGGTGTCCGCAAGAGCCGCAGCTCGATGAGGATGGCCTCGTAGTTACCTGGCAGCTCAGAACTTCAGGCCCTTCGCCCCTCAGGATTGCTCTTGCTGCTCGACTGGCGCAGCACCATCCCGGCATGGTTCTTCTGCAGGAGTGCAGGCAGCAGAGTGCCCCAGCGACGAGGTTCATTGGCTGCAGTGACTTCCACCAGGCCTGCAGTGGGGGTGCCGGTGGCGTGGTCTTCTTGGTGCGCCACACCTTGCCGTGCGAGCGCCTGTCGCTCGTGGCCCCAAATGCCTGGAGACCACCGCCTTCCGCGTGTGCCCACCGGCCAGCCCCAGCATGTACACGGTGAACCTCTGAAACCCTCCCACGGCAATGGCTCACGCTGCTCACTTTGCGAGCACCATTCGTCGCTCAGGCCTCGCAGCGGTTACTTGCGACCTGAATTCACACCATGAGCTGCGGGACGGTTGCTCACCATCCACGACGGCAGGAGAGGACCTCGCCGCCACCCCAAGCGGCATGGACTCTGAGCTGTCCGACGACCCGGCACAGGCAGCGCGGTTCAGCGGCCGCAGCGTCTCGTTTCCCGATGTGACTGCGCAACGCGTACTGCGTGTCTCCCACTGGACGTCCACCCGTTTACATGGACTCGGACCACCATCTGCCATCCCACACTGCAGGGACGGAGGACGGCATCCCGCGACAGGCAGGCATGCTGCCACGACGGAAACATGTCGCCATTTCCCTGCGTGAAGCTGACTGTGATGCTTCCACCTCGGCGTGTGCAACGTCTCTGGCCACTGTAATCACATGGTTGGAGATGCACCGAGGCACCGTACGAGTGGCAGCCGTGACAGTCCCACATGAACCTGGACGGACGGAATGTAGCATGCCGAGTGTGTTGCAGCGGCAGCCTGCCCCGAGCTGAAATGCACCGAAAACGGGAGGACCGCAATCATGCCCTCCGCCGTGGCTTCTCCATGCTGTCAGAGGTCCGTGCGAAACAGCTTGGTGCCCTCTCGAGCCAAGGCCTGTGATACCCCGAGGCATGGCAGCACCACGTCCCTGCCCTCTGGGATCGGCTGTGCTGCGGTGCTGTTGGGGCCGCGTCTGTGCTCTGCCTCCACCGGAACCTCTTCCCGACGTGAGCACCGCCACTCCTTGCCGACCAACAAGCGGCTGATGGACGTCCTCCTGCCCACTCCTCGAAATACCGGCACGCACCCTGCAGATTACAAGCAACCCTTTATGTCGGTGGTGCTGCTCCTCCCACACTGAAGAGGCAGGACCACCCCGACCTCCTCCGGAACCTCCACCTGGCGTGTCCACGGCACCTCCTCGTAGAATGAAAAGCAGCGGATCAACGTCGCCCTGCCCAAGCTGCAGCAGCGTCTTCTCGTCCGGCCACAATATGAAGGCACACGCCCGACGCACTAACCCTGGCACTCCAATCGTTGGAGAAGGCCTCACATGTGGATTCTGAGACAGCTCCACGGTCTCCCCAACAAGTGCCTCACGCGCAGGTCACTACCGAAAATGTCAAGCGTATCAACAAGCAAAAAACGGACAACGCAACTCTGCAAGCTCCAATGACAGCCGTAGCCCTTCAGCCACTCCTCTGCTGCAACCCCCACCAGCCGCTGAGCCCCCGACAATCCACGGGAGGCCCTGCCGCACACGCTGTGGGTATGCCGCCGTCCTCGACAACTGAGCATCCGACTATTTGGGAACACACCCTCTCGCACGACAGCATCGTTCAAGACGGAAAAACTGGCCACATCGCTACGGACAGCCCGCAGGCAATTAACGAAAAGTGGCAGCAAAGTATAACGAAACAAATAATTCCCTTTTCTCAGCATAGAAAAACGTCACCTTCACACTCGCAATTGCCACCAATGAATCCATTGCGCAATACCGCTCTGAGCTGCAATACTTCCTGGTACCATCCATGTCCCTTGTCGACACATTGATGCGGATGGGCGCCCATCCATTCCTCCCAATGACGCTGCATGTCTGCGACGCACCCTCAGATCCAAAAGGCACGTCCCTCACCACAGCCGGGATCGACTTCGCCCTGTGGGCACGCATCGCTTTGTCAGAGGAGCAGGAGTACGTCAGGCTGGCAGCAAAGCACCCGCCAGCACAACACATCACAACCAGCAGCACCAGCAGCACTGCAGATCGTGGGGTGACATGGATCAACCGACACATGCTGTACGTAAAAAAAAATACTTCATGGCTTTACAAGAATAAGAAACACTAACAATATCACAAAGGAAAAGAAAAAATACAAAAAGACAATTTAGGCGTCCGTAGTCAACTCAAGCCACCAATTCAAAAACAAGGGTAATGGGTGCACTCAACCACAAGAAAAGCAATAAAACAATAAAACAAAAAAAAAAGCCAAAGCGTGGGACGACCAGCGCACACACTCTCATTGCTCCCGTAAAGCAAAACACACACACAGGGGGAGAGAGAGAGAGGTCGCCCACTCAATGCAATGGAAACAAAACAAAACAGTCACGGTGCTCCGCCCATGCAGCCAGGCAGGACGGCAGCGGTGCGTGTCGTGCAAAAGAGAGCACCAACGGGCATGCATGGGTGTGCATGCATATATACAATGGGCACATTATGTGTGTGCTTCGTGGGGTGAGGTGAGGGCGAGAGTCCATGCAAGGGGACACACACACAGAGAGTGAGTGAGAAGGACGAGTGTGTGTGCGGGCGGTGCACGGCTCTCTCTCTCACTCACTCTCACGCGGCCACCACCGCAGCAGCCGCACACGCAACAACAAGAAGAGGCAAAAGAGGGGAGGTGGTGTGGGAAGCCGCGGTACTGCCGTCACTGTCGCCAGGCGTCGCCGTATGATTTGTTTGAGCAGCGGTGATTGTTTCTGCCGTTTGTGGTGCTGTCTCACTGAGTGTTGAAACAACGTTGGTATTGCCAGTTTCAAGGCTGTCGTGTTGTTCTTCAGAGCTTTGAGCATCATCCTCATCTGCCTTATTCTGGACATGATCACCGCTACCACTTGTAGAGGTAGATGAGGATGTTGGTTCTGCTGGACTGCCGGTTGCTGCATTCTTCGTCGAATCCTCTGTGTCCGTGTCATGACTGTGCTGCCCTTGTGTAGCATCCCCTGAAGGCTGTTCCGGTGCTTCTGAGTCCGTTTTGAATTCTGACGGTGTGTTTTCGTTTTTTGCTTTGGTTACTTTCTGTGAGCTTTCTTTTTCTGCTGTTGGGCCCCCTTCACCTGCTGTTGATGATGGTGCAGGTTCACCCGATGGTGGTGCGGGTGGCTGTGGCGGTGGTGGCGGTGGTGGCGGTACTCCCTCATTATTTTTACCCTTGTGTGTCTGGAGTTGTACCTTATTTTTTTCATTTTCGTCTTTTTTATCCTTTTCTTCTCCATTTTCATCATCACTATCTTCACCCCCAGCTACCTCTATATGTGGGGAAGATTCGGGTGGCACTTCTACTTTAATATCTGGTGATCCAACTTTTAATTCTTGGGTGTCTTGTGGAGACGTTTGAAGTTCTGCTGATCCCGGCGGAGGTCCACCACCACTCCCACGAGCTGCTGTCTCCTCCTCGTCACATCTACCGCCGGCACCGCACCACAGCACGCAGAGGGCACACACCAGCAGCACACGGCCAGTCATCATCATCGCCATCACTTCTGTCACTTGCGTGTAGCCTTCAGCACACACTAACGCCCCGTCAACGCAGACTGAAAGCAAAAAAAAGAAAGACAAGTCACACAGCCACAGCAGCAGCAACAAAGTGAAAAATGATGACAGCGTGCACACACCATGAGGCAGTTGGAATCAGTAAAGGGGCAAAAAAGACAAATACACAGCCCTGCAGCAATTAATCAGCAAGAAAAGAAGAAAAACAAAACGATTAAAAACACAAGTAAAACAGAAACAAAAAATTTTAATAAAAGGAGCTGCACCGAATGACGCCATTGTGAATGCATCCACACGCAAACATGCGTCCACGCAAACAGTTGTGTGCGTGTCATGCATATGAGTGTGTCTGCGATGCGTTCAACGTGACGGATACAGGGAGGCAACAAGATGGAGCACACAGCAGAGCAGCGGAAGCAAATGAAGCAAAACACAATCATTATAATTACTCTTATTTATTTACATCGGACCATAGTAGACGCAGACAAATCCCCGTGGTTGAGTGCTGGCACGCACAGCCCGCATACACCTCTTCAGCCCACAGTGGTGTACGCCAGCGCGGATACGGCGAGCAGCAGCGGGGCACACACCCACGCAGAGCTGCTGAGGCTGCCGTCGATTTCGCGAAGAAGTGACGGTGCGCGGGTAGTCGTCGTGGTTGGCGCCTCTGGCGCATTGGTCGTCGTCGTGGTCGTGGTGGTGGTACTTGGTGCCTTTGTCGTTGTCGTTGTTGTTGTCGCAGTTGGTGCATTTTCTTTCTCATTTTGTTCATTTGACATATTGCTCTTATCAATACCTGCATCTTCAGTAGTGGGTTTCCCATCATCTTGATCCTGTGTATTATGGGAAGTATTTGGTGGCCGTGGCGTTTCGGTTACTGTAGCCGTTGTATGTGACGCAAGAGTCTCCATTTTTTGTGAATCTTCCGTCCCTCTCCCTTCTTCGTTATTCTTTGGTGGAGAAGGAGTTTTACCAGGCGATTCCGTCAAATGATCTTGCCCTTCTGGATTAGAATTTGTTGAACCGGAATCTTTTCCAGCCTTACCAGCTTTACCTTCAGTTGTTGTCACGCACACGGACGGGCAGCAGCACAGGGCGAGCACCAACAGGGCGCACAGCAGACGGCACGTCATCATCGTGAGTGTGGTCGTTCAGTGGTGTGGAGCTGATCTGCACAGTGAGGGACATGGTGAGCAACAGGGGAGACGAGAGGTGCGGCAGACACACACACAGAGGGCACACCACATGAGGGGAGGGCAGCAGCCAGGCATGCACCGTACGCCGCACACCACGCACGACACACACTCCAATCCACGGCAGCAGGCACACACACACAGCCCTGCCGCAACACCAACACACACAGATGGAGGAGGGAGAAGCAAACAGGAGCGGTACACAAGGCTCCACCGCATGCACATACGGCGAGAGCGTTCCGTCGTGTCTGCACCCCTCACGGAGGGTACGCACACACACAAGAGGAGGTGCAGCGCACACGGCAACACAAAAGCAAAGTAACAATTAAAAAAGGAAATCCCCGCACACCACGTGGATTGTTGGTCCACGGGAAGTGCAGCCAATATTCATCACAAAAACAGTTCAGTTGCCATCGGCCTCCGTTCATATTCAGCGCACAGCACTTCATGCAGGTCCGGACGCCACCACCACCGCAGCAGCAGCAGCACGCATACGTGACAAGAAGATGCAAAAGATAGGAATTTGTGCGGATGACCGCGGTGGTGCTGTCGCTGTCGGCAGTGGTCGCTGTTCCTTTTTCATTGTTAGTGACTGATGTTGCTGTTAATTCCTACGGTTGCTTGTCTGGGAGTCATTTGGGAAGACAACTGGTGCCGTGACATTCCGTCAATGCCTTCCCTGTCCCGTCGATTTCTGTGCTCGCCGGTGGTGTGGGTGGGTCGTTGTGGTAGGCGAGGCGCTGACAGGGCTGCCAGCACCATCTGACTGAGCTTGGTCTGCCGTGTTCTCGTCCCCAGTCCCACTGCACCAGCTGCTGGGGGCGGTGCAGCGGTCATGCCAGAAGCACCAGCAATGGGCTGGGGTGCCGGCTGCATCAATCAATGGGTGTGTCCGCAATCGACAGGAACTTGCATCGACAGGGACGTCTGCACCGACGCTCGGGGATGGGGAACAGTGGCGCCAAACAGAACAGTGCATGTCACCCCAGAAAATCCGCAAGGCTTATTGGCGCGGGCTGCGCTGTGGTGTCGCGGCGACGGAAATGAATGAAGACGCGAGTGGCGTTCTCGTCGTGCGTCCCCTCCGGCCACTCCTTGCAGTAAACCCATTGCCTGAGTACATTGGATTCCGCCTGAAAAGCCAATTAAAATGTTCTTTCCTCTAAACGTATTGTGCTCGTAACTGGCCACGGTCGCCCGCAATGCCTCCAGCGGATACACCTGCGATGCACGGTCAACGCAATCCACATCCACTCGTTGTGCACCATCCAACACCATATTTCCCTTGGAGCTATGAACAACACCGGGCACACACTCCTTTGCGGCCGTCCACGGCATGCGCCTGCGGTAAGAATCCAAAGAACGTTCCATTCCTTTTGTGCACCAAAGTCATGGAGCTGCCGCCGTTAAGCGCGTCCCGGCGAGGGCAACAACAGCCCGCCGCAGCACTCACGAATGCCCACCCGTTGCCTCCTGTGCAAAAAAAAATAGACGTTGGAGGGAAAAGCGCGCACAAATGCCCCAGCAAAAAAAGTCAGCACCAGTGGATGAACACTGAAGCCGTGGATTCATGCTCCACAAATGTCCTTCCTTTTTTATCCGCCTTCTTAGTTGCATGGAAATGGCCCGCAACCGCACACCCAAGAAAACAAAAGCAAAAGGCAAGCAGCGCAGCCGTTGAAACACACACACGCGCATCGTATTGAACACTTCTTGGAGAGAAAGGGAATGCAGACACAAGCGCACACAATCCCATGGACACCCGCAATCGTTTGTGTTTGTATATTTCCCACTCTACGGCCCTCGATGCATTCCTGTGCGTGTCTCGCCCCTAAGTCCTACTGCCGTGGGGTGCCAAGTCCCTGCACAAACACATCTCAGGACGCAGCAGCGAGGTTTCCCAATGACCACCTCACGGCCATGTCTTTTGGATACCTCATGGACCGAGCACCTCTCGCTGCAGGCCACACCACCCAAAACAAGTAGCAGAATGCGCTGAGGAGTTGTGAGGGCAATCGTCCCACCACCGCCACCGCCACCCAGATCAGGATGATTCTCCCATTTGCCACCACACCCTTGAAATGGCCCGGCGTTTTTTCCTGCTTCTCCACTGTTTTGGCCACCACTCGCGCCATTTGGCCTCATCACATGATCGCGCTGCACCAATGCCAACGACAGCCCAACCCGCAGCGTCCTATTCCTGTTCGCCGTCTCCATCATCATGCAGGCCTGCTTCAGAAACGGATCCTCGTCCGTCGCGGCGTTGCTCGCAGAGGCACTCGTGCTCCGTTCGCTCTGCGCCGACGCCGTGCTGTATCGTTGCACGCTCCCGGCCCTCCTCATCACATGCTCAAGTTTCGCGGACAAATGGGCGTCGGGCGTCAGCCCACCGTCTCGGATCAGCTGCTGCTTCTTGGCCTCCGTCAACTCGTCGGTGCTGCTCGCAGCCACAAGAAACAGGAGAAGACGCAGACGCACTGGCCGGGGCATTGCGGCATCCCCCGTCAGGTGCTGCACGCCATCCAGGTTTTTCCTGAGAGGTTGGTGCCCAACGGCGATGTCTTGTTCCACCTCCCACACCTCCGCCAGTCGCTTCTCCCGGTACTGTGCCACAAGCCTCGCGCAAAAATCGATGTGCAGCGACAGTCTGGCTTGCCTCTCCCGAAACTCCGGCGAAGCCCGCACCGCACTGCTCAATTCCGCAAGATTGGCCTTCGGCTCCACGTCCTGCGCCAATCCCGGGTGATACGCGTGGAGTTTTTTCAGCGCCACCGAAAGCTCCTCCACGCACTGCACAAGGAATCAATGACGGTACGAGCACCAGTACACATCTTCCCCATCAATTACTGCCGCTTCAAGTCCACCCCCAGACAATTCCTACAGGTCCGCTAATAAAAGTTATTCTCCAGCGGCATCAGGTCATCAAGCAGACACTGACATGTGCGTTGGCACATCAGCGGCGTCACCGTGACACAGCCCCAATCAACGATGATCCGCACCGGGTTGCCGCAGCTGTCGGTGTCCCTAATTGGAATCCTCTTTGTCGTAGCAGAGCGTGGCAAGCCCTCAAAAAAGATCCCGGCAAGCCCATGGCAGATATTGCCACTGTTTTGTTGGCAAATGCCGGGCACACCGTTGTTCATGGCGTAAAAGGCCGCCACAGGACGTGACGCCGCAACATCCAAAACGGACACTCAATTCGGAGGCGACAGCAGCTGAGGGAACCCATTCTGCATGCTGAGGTGGAACACCAGCACCTCAGGGGCAGTAAAGTCTAACACCATTTCCTTGGAACGCATCGCCCTCGGCGCTATCCGAGCCCACTCGAGTTGCTGAGGACTGCGATGCGGGGTGCACCCCAGCGCAAAGATGTGTACATCCCTGTAAGGAACCTTTGCCATCCAATCCTCAACCACGCGGCTCACAGAAGCATCATCCACAGCAAAAAGTAGAGTGCAGGGCTACTCATAATCGGCTGCCTCGGTGTCATGAGGTCCTCGAGCAGCGTCACGCCGTGCTCCATGAGGTCATGGAGACGCAGTGAGCAGCTCAGCGCAGACGCAGCATGGGCAACGCAGAAAAAAACTTTAAATGATCCATGAACGGCGTTAAGCATCTGATGGAATATATAATCCCGCACACAACCACAAACGCCATTGCTGGGCTCACGCAGCTGCCCGCTTCCGTCGGCCTTGACCGCACCAACACGCCACGCATAATATGTTAAGTAGAAGCCACACAGACAATGTGCTTGGATATGTGTGTGTCTTGTGTGTGCACATTCCACTCGCA